TTCTGCTTTCCAGCCCAGGGCAAGCCCTGGAGCACTGGCAGTAGAGCTTCCTGGGCAGGCTCCAAACAGAACTCGGAGCCCTGTGGGGCATGTGGCGCATCCCCGGGGTCGGCCAAGCGCACCTGCTTCACGGCGATGCTGACGCGGACAGAGTTGATGGAGCCCTCGATGAGCACTTTCTCCTTCTCGTTCCTGCTGATGGTCACGGGCTGCAGCAGCAGCTCTTTGCTACTCCTGCGAGTGAGAGCGAGCTCTGGTCAGAGAGGAACTGGCGGGCAGGGGGCCCCACAACAAGCCCTGATCTCTACTGGGACCCCACAATCCAAGGCACAGGAGACTCACAAGGCAGGGGAGTCCCATCATTGGGGAGCGAGGGGGAAAGTACTGTTTGGGGGCACGCAGGGAACAATGCAGAAAAGACGTTTTGGTAGCAGGGCACAGCGGGCGGTGCTCAGAGCCTACTCGTGGCTCTGTGCTCAGGGATCACTTAGGGAGGTTCCCGGGGGACCATGTGTGGTGCTGAGGTATGCACCCTGGTCGGCCACATGCAAGGCAAGAGCCCTCCCCTCTGACTCCTGGTTTCAGCCCCCAGCACTGCGTAGGCTGGCATGCGATCTCTCAAGAAAGAAAAGGAACCAGAATCACTCTTATCACTGCATCGCTGGCGAGAATTCAAAAGATTAAAAACAGCCGAGATGGACACAGGCAATCTGCGGTCGTTCCCTGGCTCGCCACACGGTCCCTTAAGCTGACAGGAGGGATTCCTGAGCACAGAGCCAGGAGCAACCCCTGAGCACCACTGGGTGTGACCCAAATTCAAAACCCCACAAAATCATAGTCCAGATGGGTCCGAGAGACGGTGCAGCAGGTAAGGTCAGTGCAGTGATGTGGCCAAGTGGGCTCAACTCCCAGCACCATGTAAGTTGCCCTGAAATACCCCAAGTGTAAGAAGACAGCGAGGAGGGCGTCTGCCTTGCACGCGGAGGACCGGGTTCGATCCCCGGCCCCCCCATATGGTTTCCTGAACTCTGCCAAGGGCAATTCAGGAGAGCAGTCAGGAGTAACCTGAGCACTGCTAGGTGAGGCCACCCCTCCCCCGCCAGAGCGATTCCTGAGCACAGAACCAGGAGTTTAGCTGGGTGTTGCCTAAAGCAAAAAAAGACAGAAACCAAAAAATGGTCAAGTGACTAATGCCACGAGTGACGCAAGCTTCAGAAACGAAAGCTCTGATGTTTCTAGCTCGGGGGACCCTGCACCGCTCAGGAACGCTCGGGAGGCCGTGTGGGAGGGACGTGACAACTGGACTCAGCTGCATTCCCCAGGGAGTCGCCGGCGCCCGGGGCACTCCCTGAAGCCTCGGAATCTACAGCGATCTGGAATCTGGCGGGCCTCGAGGTGCTGGGAGGCTTACGTGGACTGGGAGACAGCTCCGAGGCTGGCGCAGTCACTCTACAGGGAGCCCTGGGTCCAGTCCGAGCACTGACAGACCCCTGGGGGCGACCCCAGAGTCAATGTAGAAATGAAAATGTGTAGCGGGGAGTTGGAGCCACATACGCGGGGCGGGAGCTTCCCTTGCACGCGGCAGACCTGGGTTCGATGCCCGCCTCCCTGCGCCCACCAGGAGCGATCAAGAGTAAGCCCTGATAAAACCTCGCAGAAATCACATATGTCAAGAGGTATATTAAGATATATCCTAATATCTCCTGGCTGGAGGACCGTGCACGGGGCTGGCCCAGGTTGGATGTCTGGCATCCCATGTGGTTCCAAGCACGGCAGAAGTGACCCTGAGAACAACTAGGAGAAAAGCCCAGAGCACCGTCATGGGTGGGTCCCCCAAAACAAATGAGAAAAAAATAAGGCACATCTTGCCAGTTTCCAAGTTTTGGGGGAAGGGAGGGTGCCGGGCCACTCCCAGAGGTGCTCGCTCCCTAGCTAACTCTCCGAACTCTCACTTGAAGTTTTAAATGGTGACGGTGACTAACTCGATAATGTGAAATTTCTCAACGGGGAATGAATGAGTCCAGGCTGGTGGGGCAAGTTGTGGTTTCCCTCCAGGAAAGATGGAGCCGGCAGTCCAGGCCCTGACCGGCTCCGTGGACGGCCAGTCCTGCTCTTGAAGGCCACTGCTCGTCTCGTACCCAGCTTGCCTGCTTGGGAGGCGTTTCTCCTGGGTTCTTCCCGCCAACCCAATGACCCTTTTGGGAGGCCACACCTAGTGGTGCACTTGGCTCTGCACTCAGAGATTGCTCCTGCTGGGCTCAGGGGACCACATGAGGTGCCGGGGTCGAACCCGGGTCAGCCATGTGTGGTGCAAGCGCTCTGCCCGCTGAACCCTCTTTGCTGAACCCCAGACTGGGACGTTCTGCCGGGCGGGTGGCAGGACACCCAGGAGGACACAGGGACCCACATTCCAGCCCCGGCCCCGCCCACCCACGGCTGTCGCCCTCCCTACCTGACTTCCACCTCTGGTTTGTTGTGTCGCTCCACGACCTGGGAGGAGAAGTTCTCCAGGCAGAGGGCGGCCTGCAGAGTGGCCCGCACGGCACTCAGGTAGGGACGGAGAGTGGCAGTCTGCAGGAAGAAACCAGGCTGGTCAGAAGCCGGCTTGCCAAGCCCACCGGCCCCCAAGCCCAGCTCCCGCGGGCCGGGCCCCTCTCAGGCTGCAGGCCCACGGCGGCAAACAGACCAGAATCGGCGCGTGGAGACTGTGGTTCAACCCTCTGATTCTTCTCTTTCTTTTGGGTCACACCCGGCAATGCTCAGGGGCTAGTCCAGACTCTGCACTCAGGAATCTCTCCTGGCGGGGCTCGGGGAACCATAGGGGGTGCTGGGGATCGAACCCGAGTCGGCCTTGAGCCCTCCCTGCAGTCTTATCGCTCCGGCTGCTAGTTCTAAGTTTAGAGTGGCGGCTCTCCACCAGGTTGATCTACTTGCCAGCGGCCATCTGGCCGAGTGGGGACATTTTCCACCGTCTCAGGTGATGCTACTGGCACAGAGAGCCCAGCAAGCACTCACAGCTCCTTCGACACCCAAGAACCCTGCAAACCGCACGTCATTCTTGAGAACTCTAGAGACACACAAGGCAGCGGCCGGGAAGCACAAACCAGAGGCCTAACGAGCCCCAAGCCCAGGGCCGGCGCTGGGAACCAACGGGTGACTGAGACCACGGCTAACATGGCTTGGCCGGGCAGGGGCCAGGCAGAGAAGGGCGACAAACGTGACACTCAGACACACGAGCACATCGGCAGAAGAAAGTGGTTTTGCTGCTGGAAACGGGGTCGGGACTTGCTGAGCAGGGGAATCCCGGCAGAGGAATCGGCTTCTAGCAGGTTCCTTCCTCCTCTTGGGGCGTCACTTTCTGCACCACCAGCCCCCTTTCATTGCAGAACTGAGGCACCCTAGTCTGGTTTTACTTTTGATTTGGGGGCTACCCCTGGGGTTGGGGGACCGTTTGTGGTCCTCCCTGGTGCTAGGGATGTAACCAAGAGTCGGCCGCATGCCACAGGAAGCCCCTCAGCCCCTGTGCTATCTGGTCTCAAACTCTTCAAGTCATGACGGCCGCGAGGTCTCGCACCCCACTTTCTGACAGCCCATAAGCCTGCGACATGCAGTGGGACACGGTCTCTGCAGGTTTGCTCCTTCCTTCGCCCTCAAACTGGCCTTTTCAGAGGCCTCTTCCTTCCTCAGCGGGGCACTCGGACTTCCCTATTCACAGCGACTAGGCTGCAGGCGCTGCGGTCAGCAGACCCAAACGCCCAAATCTACATAACCGCCACCTCACCTAATGCAGTCTCAGTCATTCCCCACAGATGAATGAACAGAGAAACAGACTAGATCAGATCTGACCCAAAAGAACACCAGGAGCTCCCTCAGTCGAGCTGAGACTGGCGGGGAGAAAGGGGCGCAGGGGTAGGGGGTACCGAGATCGCTGGGACCCTGGGAGCACAGGGACAAGAGCTGCTGTGCAGGCGGGAAGGGCTGTGGGGCTGGAGGGAGACACGGACTCCGGCGGCACAGGGAGTGACGGGCGAGGTCCAGGGCGGAGGGGGCTGGACACGGGCCTAAGAGGGCTGAGCTGGGCAGGGCAGAGCCCAGGCCCTGGACTGGCATCCAGCAGGATCCTGCCAACCAGGCCCACCCAGGCGAGGCAACGAAGGCAGAGCTGCTGGGGAGGCGCCGGGCAGAGGCTGCACTGACCAGTCCAGGGCCACCCCGCAGCCTGAAGGGTTCTATTCCCAGGACCCCGGGGAAAGCAACTCTAAAAGGGGAAGGAAAAAAAACTGATGGGCGATGAGGATCGGATACAGGGGACCTGGAGGCCCCCTTGGGGCAATGAAACGCTCCCCGAGTCCACCAGCGGCTGCACCTCCGCGGAAATTCGCGGCCCGCCGGGCTGGGTCCCGGGTGGCCCAGCCGGGGTCCCCCCAGGCGGCGGCTTCGGGGGTCGCGGAGAGTGGCTCTTCCTACGGGGCGGGGGGGGGGGGCGGACGGCGGCCAGGAGGGGCCTCAGCTCGGGGGAGCAGGGTCCAGCGACCCACCCCCGGGCCCCACGGCGCAGGCGGGGGAGCCGGAGGAAGGGCCGGGCCCGGGCCCGAGGGAGGCTGCGCCGCCGCCCAGCCCGGCGCGGGCGCACCCCCGCGCCCGGCGCGACCCCGGCCCGCCCGGTCCCGCCCGGCCCGACCCGGCGCGACCCCGGCCCCCGCCCGGCGCCCCCACTCACCATCGCGGCGCTGGCTGGGCCGGGAAGCGGAAGTGCGGAAGTGGCCGGCGCCGCCCCCGCCCCGCCCGGGCCGCGCAGCCGCAGTCGCCGCCCGCACTTCCGGGCCGCCGGGCGCGCGGCGGGGGCGCGGCCGAGTTCCCGCGAGAGCTCGGCCTCCCCGCCCGCCGCCGCGCGCGCTGCGGCCCGGCCCGCGCCTGATTCGGGCCGGGCGAGGCGGGGCCCGCAGCTTCCGGCCCGCGCCCCCCGCGTCGCGCGGACCCGCCCCCGCCGCCAGCCCGGCCGCGCGGCCCCGCAGGAGGTGGCGGCCCCGGGCGCGGGGAGGGGCTCGGGCGCCCGCGCCGCCGGGGAGCGGCCCCGCTTCGCCTTTGTGCCCGGCGCCGCTCGGGGCCCCGAGGTAGGTCCCCGCGGCCCGGCCCCCGCCCCGCCCCGCGCCGCCCCGGCGGGACCCGCGCCCCGGAGCCCGGGGCCCGGCTCGGGACGGCCGCGTGGAACCCGGGGCAGCAGCGCGGGTGCCGGGCGTCGGGCGCGGACGCGGGAGCGGCGCCCGTGCACGTGGCCGGCCAGCCGAGGACAGCGCCAGGGGCCGGGCGAGCCCCCCGGGGGGCCCCAGAACCCAACCCGGAAAGCGCGCGCGGGGGGGGGCGTGGGTGCAGACCGCAGACCCGCTGGGTTCTTCCGGGGTCACCGCCCCCGGGGCCTCGGGGTCCGCGTCTGTGGTCCGGGCTTCCCCGTTCCGGCCCGAGGGGTCCCGGGAGCTCAGGGAGCGCCGGCCTGCAGCGTCCCCCACCTCCGCAGGCTGCCGAGGCCATGAGCGAGCTGAAGGACTGCCCCCTGCAGTTCCACGACTTCAAGTCGGTGGACCACCTGAAGGTGTGCCCGCGCTACACGGCCGTGCTCGCGCGCTCCGAGGACGATGGCATCGGCATCGAGGAGCTGGACACGCTGCAGCTGGAGCTCGAGACGCTGCTGTCCTCCGCCAGCCGGCGCCTGCGGGTGCTTGAGGCCGAGACGCAGGTGCACCCCGCGGAGGGCAGGGACGGGACGGGACTGGGGAGAGGGCCGCACCCGCCGGACCTACGGCGGAGCCATGGCACGGCGGGTTCAATCGCGAAGGGTCCCCTGAGCACCGCCAGGAATGACTCCTGAGCACGGAGCCAGGAGTCACCCGTAGCCCCCCACCAAAATAAAAACACACGCAAGGGCAAGATTCCAGTTCCCCAAGCACCTCTGCGTGTCCTAGGCGCTCAGGACGGTATGGCCTCGGGCGGCCCCCACGCCCCCAGCCCAGCCATGCACTGCTGGGTGTAGCAGAACAAACGGATACTTGGCAGAAACCGAGCCCAAGCCAAGCAAGGGCCGGACCCTCAGCCCTGTGCTGGGGAGCCGAGCTGGCCGAGGGGATCTCCTGGCCTCCGAGAGCTCAGGGTCAGCCTGGAGACCAGTTCCCGGGGTGCTGTGCTGCAGGGCTGTGCGCATGGGGGTGCCCCGGGCTGGCAGGAGACTGGCTGGGTGAGGAAAGCCCAGGCCCTGGGCATCACCCCATGTCACCGCCTCTCTCTGGCTGGTCAGCCCGGGACCGCAGCGAAGAGAGGACAGGCCGGGATGGGGCTGGCCCCAGCGGAGCGGGGCCCGGGGACTGAGCGGGAGCGCTTGATTCTGGGGGGTGGTGGACACGGAGGTGTTGGCGTGGGTTGAGCGGCTCAGCCCCTTCCTTTGTCCCTCGCAGTGACCGTCTCTGCCTTCCAGATCCTCACTGACTGGCAAGACAAGAAGGGGGACCGGCGGTTCCTGAAGCTGGGCCGGGACCATGAGCTGGGAGTCCCCCCGAAACACGGGAAGCCCAAGAAGCAGAAGCTGGAAGGGAAGGGGGGACACGGGCCCGGCCCCGGCCCCGGGCGGCCCAAGTCCAAGAACCTTCAGCCCAAGATCCAGGAGTACGAGTTCACCGACGACCCCATCGATGTGCCCCGGATCCCCAAGAACGACGCCCCCAACAGGTGCGGGCAAGGGCAAGGGCACCAGGAGGGGGTGCCAGGGGGCCCGCTCACGTGTCGGTGCCCGCAGGTTCTGGGCTTCGGTGGAGCCCTACTGCGCCGACATCACCAGCGAGGAGGTACGCACGCTGGAGGAGCTGCTCCGGCCGCCTGACGACGAGGCTGAGCACTATAAGGTAGAGCCTGTGCCGCTGCCCGCCCGAGCACTGTTGGCCCAGGCACTCGCCTGAGCACTGTTGACCTGAGCACTGTTAACCTGGGAGCTCACCCGGGCACTCAACTGCGTCCTAAGGAAAGAGCCCCAGCCGGGCACCCCCTGGCCGCCCCGGAGCCCCATACACCCAGACTCAGGCCCGGCCTGCCCCACCCCGGGTCCCCCTCTCCTCTGTTGGGCTGGTCCGCCCTGGCTCTGCGCTCGTCGTCCTCCTCTGTGTTCTCTGCTTTCTCCTGGTCAGTGTGACGCAGTCAAGACAGTATGACGGGGCGTGGGGCTCCCCTGGCTGCGTCACCCACCTGGGGGGCCCTTGGGTGCAGCCCCGGCTCCCTCGTCCGGTGTTTGACCGACCCTCCGTGCTGCCCCAACGGCCTCCTGACCCGGGCGCCACACAGCCTGCCTGCGCACACCTCAGGCCTGTTGTTCTGGGAACCCTAGCAGGGATAGCGGCTCCCTGTCCCCACCCCCTGCTGGGCCTCTTGTGCTGTGCTCAGTGGATGTCACGGATCATTCTGGGGCGGGGGGTGGGGGTCTGTGGGCAGGCCCTGTTCTGCATCTTTCCCTCCTCGAGGGCCAGTACGAGCGTGAGATGGGCAGGGCCTGGCCCCCGCCCGCCGCTTCCGCATCCTGCTCTCCGCAGCCCGGTGTTTGGGGACGGACGAGTGAGTTCGGGGGCCGGGCCAGACTGATGGGGGCACGGCTCTGCGCAGATCCCGCCTCTGGGCAAGCACTATGCCCAGCGCTGGGCCCAGGAAGACCTGCTGGAGGAGCAGAAGGATGGGGCCCGGGCCGCTGCCGTGGCCGACAAGAAGAAGGGCCTCCTGGGCCCCCTGACCGAGCTGGACACTAAAGGTAGGCCTGTCCCCGCCTGCCCCAGGCATGCCGTGGGTGCCCAGTGCTCGCGCCCACCTGGCCCCCACTCTGCCCGGTGCAGATGTTGACGCGCTGCTGAAGAAGTCGGAGGCCCACCACGAGCAGCCCGAGGACGGCTGCCCCTTCGGCGCCCTGACGCAGCGCCTGCTGCAGGCCCTGGTGGAGGTGAGTGGCGGCACCGGGCATGGCCGCTCAGGGTGGCTTCAGGGCTGCTGCCAGCGCAGGAGGTGGGGGGCTGTGGGCAGCCGGTTGGGCATCCCCATTCCCTGTGGATCTGATAGGGAAGACCGCTGGACACTTAGTGGCATAAGGGAGCCCAGTTGTATCCTTTCCTGGGGTGAGGGGCTGGGGGTTGCTCCTGACTTTGCACTTGGGAACCCTTTTGGCGGTGCTTGGGGAAGTGTGATGCCCAGGTGGGAATTCAGCGTCAGGTCCCTCCCTTACTGTCCCTGTGACTGGAACACACTATGTAAACAGCCTGTTTCAGTCTCACACCTGCGCCCTCGGTGCCCCCCACCCCACCTTGACCCTGCCCGAAAGGGGACCCCTACACAGGACCTGAGCTACGGAGAGGCGCCTTTCCTGGTTGCTCGAGGTCACCCTGCTAATCGGCCAGGCAGGACTCAGACCCCCTTTGTCACGCCCCACCCGCCCCAGCGCTAGGTGTGTGTCCGCTGTCCTGCGCAGGTCACTCCCGCGCTGCGTGTCCTCGGCAGTCGGGTCGGGGGGCCTGAGCGATAGGGCGGGGTGAGGCGCTTACCTGGCAAGGCGCTTACGTGGCCAACCAAGTTCACGGCCCCTGCACCCCTTAGGGTCCCCCAAGTACTGCCAGGAGTGATCCCTGAGCACCCCAGGGTGCGGGCCCCAAACAGAAACTACAGTGAGGGTTGCCAGGGCGGGGCAGGGTGGGGCCTGCCCCCCAGCCATCAGCGGGGCCCCAGCTGCAGTGACTCGCCCCAGCCACGTGCCAGCACAGATCACCGCAGGTGCCCACAGAGAATGTGTGAAGGGAGGGGTGGCTCTTACCTTGCCGGGTCCCTTTCCGAGAGGGTGGCCAGCGGGCACCTGCGCAAGGAGGCGGGCCAAGGCCGTAGCCGAGCCTGCTGCTCTGAAGGACAGGCCTGTAGCCAGCTTCCAGCCGCGGCCACCACACGCCTGGCACAGGGCCCGATGGTGGAGACAGCAGCCCTCGCCCGCCTGCGTGTGTTCGGCTCTGCCCCCTCGGGCCTGCCGAGCCCCCACAAGGAGCCCAGCTTGGGCCCCGCCAACCCCTCTTGGCCACTGCCCGGGGTCGTTGACGGCATCACGCCCCATGCCTCCCTGGTGGCAGCAGGACAGGAACGTGTGTCTCTTAGAGGCTGTGGCGCTTGGTGGAGTCACTTTGGAGTGGTTGTGCCGAGGAGGAGATGAGGACGAGAAGAGGTGGTTGGTGGTGGGGAAGGTCATGTGAGCCCTGGGAAGGGGCAGACCCTAGCCCCTCACTCCTGTTCTTTCCAGGAAAACATCATCTCGCCCATGGAGGATTCGCCCATCCCCGACATGTCCGGTAAGGAATCGGGGGCCGACGGGGCCAGCACCTCCCCCCGCAACCAGAACAAGCCCTTCAGGTGAGTCCTCAGCCATGCTAGCCTGGCCCAGGCAGCTGGACCAAGGCCAGTCGGCTCCCGGCAGTGCCAGCCTGCGCACGGGGCGCGGTGCTAGGGCGGCGGGCAGGGGGAGGCGGCCGCTCGTGTGACGTGTGCCTGAGAGACCAAAACACATGCATGGATCGGGGCTGAGAGACGGGCCAGCAGCGGGGCACTTGCCTTGTGTGCCACCAACCCAGGTCCCGTCCCTGGCACCCCAGATGCTGCCCCGAGCCCCACCAGGAGTGACCCCTAGATGCAGAGCCGGGACAAGCTCGCGCACGGCCAGGTGGGGCCCCAAAACCAGAAAGAGTATAAAATCAAGGTTGCTTGTCTCGTAAGGAAGTTAGCGCGTTGGGGCTGAGAAGGTAGGCAGTGGGAGGGCGCGCGTGGAGCTGACCTGACGTGTCCCCGACATCCCTATGGTTCCCTGAGCACCGCCAGGAGGGATTCCTGAGTGCAGAGAAAAAGTAACCCCTGAGCGTTGCTCAGTGTGACCCAAATCTCCCCCCAAAATGTGAACGCTCCTGTTTGTACACAGGATGGAGCTGAGCGTGGTAGTGGCGGGTCAGACACTGCTTGCTCCCTTGTTGGCAGTGTGGCGCTTCCTGGCCTTGGATGGTGCCCATGTGTGTGTGTGTGTGTCTGTGTCTGTGTCTGTGTCTGTGTGTGTATAGAGGGCTGGGTGGGTGGGTGTGCAAGGAATGTGCCACACCATGCTGGCTGGCGTGGCTGAGGGTCCCCGCGCTGCCCCGGCAGCGTCCCGCACACCAAGTCCCTGGAGAGCCGCATCAAGGAGGAGCTGATTGCGCAGGGGCTGCTGGAGTCCGAGGATCGCCCGGCGGAGGACTCGGAGGACGAGGTCCTGGCGGAGCTGCGCAAGCGGCAGGCGGAGCTGAAGGCGCTCTCTGCCCACAACCGCACCAAGAAGCACGACCTGCTGCGGTGAGTGGCCGCGGGCGCCTGGCCAGCTGCTCTTGCCCCGTCTTGGTGGCAGGAGCAGACTCGAGCCTGACTCCCAAACCCGTGCCCTGCCCCGACATCCCTTGTGGTTCCCCGAGCACTGCCAGGAGTGATTTCTGAGTGTAGAGAAAAGGTAACCCCTGAGCACCCAGCCCCTCCAAACTTGAGGGTGCAGTCCTGCTGGGGGGCACGGGGGACTGGGTGGTGCTGCGGAGGATGGACCATCTCCTTGGACTTCGTCTGTGTGTTTGGGGGCACAGCCAGGGTGTTCGGGCTGTGCCCGGCTTGTTGCTCAGCTTGCCCCAAACAGTGTTGGGGACTGTTCATGGTGCTGGGGCTGCGCTGGGCCGTGTGCCAAGCCTGCAGTGACACTCAGCCTCTTGGGCTCCCCTGCCCCTTTTTCTGTTTGGTTGCTTGTTTGGATTTTTTGGTTTTTGTGTTTTTGGTTTTACTCTGGACTTGCACCCAGCAGTGCTCAGGAATCACTCCTGTGCTTTGGCACCGTGTGGGGGGCCAGGGATCGAACCTGCACAGCAAACACCCTGTCCGCTCACGCATATGTTCTTTCCCTGAAGTCATCTGACGAGTTTTCAAACGCGCAGGAAAGTGTGAAGGAGCAGGCCAGTAGCACCGTTTCGATCCTTGCCTAGACTTAGCATTTGTTCTGCTTTATTCTGTGTGGTTCCGTCTCAGCACCCCACCCAGCTGCCGGAAATCCAACTAGGTTGGCCATGTACAAGGCACGCACCTTAACCTCTGTGGCCCAGTAATTTTTTGAGGGGTGGGCAGTTTGGGCCACATTCTGCAGTGCTTAGGACTTACTCCTGTCTCTGCACTCAGGGACCCTCCTGGTGGGCTCGGGACCATATGGGGTGCAGGGGATTGAAACTGGGTCTGCCATGTGGCTGGCAAGTGCCCTCCCTACCTGCTGAACTATCACTCCCCTGCTCAGTGATTCTGATTTTTGAATCAAAAACCATTTGGGGGCTGGAAAGAAGGGCTCCTGCCTTCCCCGGTTCGATCCCAGCAGCCCCAGTATGGTCCCGGAGCACCACCAGGACTAGCTCCTGAGTGCAGAAACCAGAGTAACCCCAAGCATCACCAGCTGTGGCCCCAAACCAACCAATTTGGGAGGGGTGGCTGGAGAGAGTGGGCTGAGTCAGGCTTCGCATGCAGGAGGCCCAGGGTCTTTTCCCTGAGCCCCATAGGGGACAGCCACTCCCAAGCAGAGCTGGGAAGTCTGAAGTGACCCAAAGCACAGATCAGAGGGCAGCCTGGTCCCCTCCCCTGGGCTCGCACATACCCTGGTGTGCTTTTGTGGGACCCTGTGACCCCACCTCTGTCAGCTCCCCTCTCCCTGCGCCTCCCACTCTGTTGCATAGGGATGGGGGGCCTCGGAGCTCAGCCCCACGCCTCCCTCACTGCTCCGCTTGGCGGTGGTCCCAATCTCTGCGTGCCCCCTCCAGGCTGGCGAAGGAGGAGGTGAGCCGGCAGGAGCTGAGACAGCGGGTCCGCATGGCAGACAACGAGGTCATGGACGCCTTCCGCAAGATCATGGCCGCCCGGCAGAAGAAGCGGACCCCCACCAAGAAGGAGAAGGACCAGGCGTGGAAGACGCTCAAGGAGCGCGAGAGCATTCTGAAGCTGCTCGACGGGTAGCGCGTCCAGAGCCGAGGCCCCTCGTGTCCAGCCAGGGCCTGGGCCCCCCTCCAGGGCCGGCCTGGGGCCCAGTCTCCAGGATAAGGGGGTTTCTTGCTGGGCCTTCCTCCTCCTCGTCCTCCCCGTCCCCCGTGCACCCTCCCCGCCCCCTCCTCCTCCCTGTGGTTTTGTAAAGGGCAGACTCGAGAGTGAAGTGACTGCTGTGGTTTCTAAAAAGCACCCAGAGTCTGAGTGTCTGTTACTGGGGGAAGGAAGCTGCGCGGGCGGCAGTGGCCCCCGCCTGCCCTCACCCAGGGCACTTGCAGGCACATGGGCCTGGGCCGAGGGAGTGTGTCGCGCCCCAGCGGCCCCTGGGGAGCAGGAGCCCTCCCTGCCGGCACTAGCGGGCCCAATCATGCACGTGGATGGGCGGCCCGGTGGGTGAAGTCTTTGAAGACCAAACGGAGCGGGCAGCGATTGGCCAGGCTGCGTTACGGACCCCCCTCCCCGACCTGAATCAGCCAATGAGTAGAAGGAAGGCAGTGATTGGCCAGGCTGCATCGCGTGCTCCCAGCCTGAACCAATCACTGACCAGAGGCCGAGCAGTGATTGGCCAAGCTGGGGTCACGTGCGCTCACATGCTGGCAGGCCCGCCAGGCCCGGGGATGGGGCTTCTCGGGCAGCCGGGTGCTGGTCACACAAGCATGTTGCGGCCGTCGTGGTTTATGGCCCGGTTCACAGGTCACTTCCTCGGGGAGCCTCCCCGGGCCTCTTCCGCGGCACCTCGACCTTCCCACAGTAAATCGCACATTTTTCTCCGGCTCTGACTAGCCTGGGAACGGGAAGGCGAGCCTTGTCGTCGCCCCCAGGCCGCCCCTCGGCGATTGGTTCGGGTGGTGACTGTGCCCGTCCTGGCCAATCGCTGCCCTCCCCCTGGCCAGTGGTTGGTTCAGGGCCTGCCCGTGCAGCCGTCCTGGCCAGTCGCCGGGTTCCTCTTCTTCGGGAACGAGGGCTCGGATTGGCAGCTGGGCCCCGGCGACTGGCCGCTCCCGCCACGTGGCAGGTCCTCCCGGAGGGCAGAGCCAAGAGGACGCCCCTGAGGACGGGGCCCGAGCCCGGGGTCCCCCGCGGACCCCCGCCCCGTCCGCCCACAGCCCCGCAGGCGCCTCTGGGGCTTAGGTTGGAGTTTTGTCTCTGACCGTCAGCAAAAGGTCGGGTGGACGCGGGCAGCGCTCCTGCCCCCCGGAAGCGCAGGGCCCAGCGGCCAGAGTCGGGGACGCGTCCACCCGGTTCGTCCCCCGCGCAGAGACGGACCCGCTAACTCGGCTCCTTGATGAGTGGCGTTAAGGCTGGGGAATGTGGGGGTCCCTGTGCGAGCCCCACGGGCGTGTCTGGTAACTTCCCCCAGCAGGCTGAGCCTGAGGCCCCGAGGCCGCGTCCAGGAACCGGTGGGTGCCTCCGAGGGACCCAGACTCTGCATCTGGCGGGACCCCGGCATCCCATCGGGTCATCCCATCTGCGCCAGATGCAGAGTCTGGGTCCCTCGGACTTGACAGCCCTGCTGCGGACGCCCGGTCTGAGCTAGCCCCCGCCCCCACGTTCATTAGGCTGACCAATAAGGCATTCTTGGTCCAAAGTTCTAGAAACTTTGGAGGAGGTAGGAGGAGAGCGGCAGGAGGAGAGGGGGTCGGGCTGAATACCAGGATGAGCCTGGGGGGGCAGAGCTGAACAGACTGACCCCGCAAGGGTCTCATGACCCCGAGACCGAACTTCTTAAACTCTGGTGGCGGTGGGGGGCGGGGCTGCGGTGTGTGAAACTGGTAACAGGAACAGGTTTCACCAAAACCTGCAAAGTCGGGCATGAATCTGAGTGTTTCAGTTCTCAGGCGAAAGGGTCACAGAAAGTTGTAGGAGCCAGGGGTAGGGGCCACAGCCGCCCTCCTCACCCTCCTGTAGGGTCAGACACTCAGCCCCGCGCCAAGGTGATGCCCTGCCCTGCAGAGGCCGCTGAGTGCCACGGTGCTTAGGGTACAGGCTGAGCTGGTACCCCAGAGAACACCAGCCCTGACAGGCCAACATCCCCTCACGGCCGTCTCAGGTCGCCCCAGGTGTCCTTTCAGGGCTTGGCAGAAGTGGCACACCTCCCGGGCCAGGGAGATGAGTTTGAGCACCTCAAGACTCCAGTTTGAATTTGAAACAATCTCTTGGGGGCAGAGGGATATACTGCCGCAGGGAGGGGGAGGGGGTTTGCCTTGCATGCAGCCGACCCAGATTCTATCCCCGGCATCCCATCGGGTCCCCCAAGCGCTGCCAGGAGTGACCCTGAGTGCAGAGCCAGGAGTATGCCCTGAGCACTGCTGGGTGTGACCCAAAAACCAAGAGAAAGAAAAAGAAAAGAAAGGAGAGGGGAAGGAGGGGGGAAGGGATCGTCAAGGACCCAGTCAAAAGGCGTGACCCGGAGTGGGGCCCCAGCCCTGTGCCCCTGCGCTCCCCGGGGCCTGGGTGCCAGCTGAGCACAGTTAGAGGGGTGATGGGCAGAACCCTGGGCCAACGGTCGGGGAGGGAGCTTCCTTCCTGTGGAGAGAACGGGGTCCACCAGGGGCCTCGCGATAGTAACTCGCCATTTCCTCCTCGGCCCCTTGACTGTTTATTGTCCCATTTGTGACTCTCCTTCAACACACAAGGTGGCTGGGGCGGCCCTGGAGCGCGGGGCGGTGACTTAGCAGCTGGGGGACCGGGAGGGTGGCAGGGAGGACGCGGAAGGAAGCGGCAGGCGGGCGCCAGTGAGCAAAGGAGCGGTGCAGCCCGAGGTGTGATCGGCGGCTCTGCCCAGAGAGGTGCCGGTGTCGGTGTGAGCGGAAAGTAGGTTGAGAGCAGGCCAAGTGCAGCTGCCCTGGGAAGGGACAAAATGCACGTTCCCGGGCTCTGGGGAGTGCTCCCCGGGCCAAGAGCACAGGGTGCATGTGCCTGAACGCAAACCCCAGCACCACGCTGTCTCCCAATACTGCCCACACCAACCTCTGAGCACTGGGTCAGGAGCAGCCCCTGAGCACCACCAGGTACTCCCTCCACCACCACCCCCTAAAATAAGACCCAGATCCAATGAGCCAGAAGGTCTGGGTTGGGTCCTGCAATAGCACAGCAGGTAGAGCGTTTGCCTTGCACGCGGCTGACCCAGGTTCGATTCCCAGGATCCTATATGGTCCCCCGAGCACCGCCAGGAGTGATTCCTGAGTGTATGAACCAGGAATAACTCCTATGCATCTCCGAGTGTGACCCAAAAAGAAAAAAAATTTAAAGTAAAACTATTTAATGCATTCATTTGTCCCTGACTCTCGCGGCCCTTTCCCTGCGAGTCAGTATTCTTTACTCAGTGGGAATGAAACTCACAGACTCACGTTTGCAAGGCTGACACTCCCCGTCATCTAATTTCTCTCTATTTGGGAGGAGGGTTTGGGCCATACCTAGAGGAGCTCAGGGCTCACTCCTGGCTCTGTGCTCAGGGATCACGCCTGGCGGACGTCGGGGGGCCATCTGGGGTGCCGGGGATTGAAGCTGGGTCAGCCGTGTGCAAGGCCCCGCTCTCCTGTTGCCCCTGCTCGTCAGGGCTGTCTTGGCTCTCTGCTCAGGAGTCATTTGAGGAGGTGAAACCATGTTTGGTGCCAGGGATCACATGGGGGTTGGCAGTGTGCCAAGGCAGCGCCCTGCCTGCCAGGCTGTCTCTCCATACCCCACTCCCTGCCCCACCTTCTCATTTCTTTCTGAGCACCTGCTCCATGCTGGGGTCCCCCGAGAGAACAGTCTTGCCTTCTGCTCGAAATAGGGGCCACCCCTAGCGGTCCTTGGGGGGACTTGCCCATACTCAGCCTCTTGCAGACCTGATGGCTCAACTGTGGAGGGCTGGGCCACCTGGAGGCCACCACGGTCACACCTGGCAGTGCCCCCAGTGTGGGGGTGGCACAGGGTCCAGCCACCCTCCCCCAGCGGTGTTTTCCTTCCACAACCCCTTCCTGGCCTTTCCTTGGTTGTTGTTGTGGTGGTGGTGGGCGGTGACCATGGTGGCCAGGAAGCTGCACACAGTGAGGCTGACCCAGCCCTGGTTGCAAGTGACCTGGGGCCCACACAGCACGGCTGTAGGAGCGGAGCTGGGTGCCTGCGTGGTGCTTCGGGTGGGACTTCTGGCCGCATGCTTTCAAGGCAGAAACTCTTCTTCACGCCACCCAGGGGCCCTGGTGCCACCTATTTGAAAAATTAGATTTTAAAGCCAGGTGGGGGTCTGTAGTGGTAGCATAGCGGGTAGGGCGTTGACCTTCCACGTGGCCAACCGGGTTCAATTCCCAGCATCCCATATGGTCCCCCGAGCACCACCAGTAGTAATTCCGGAGTGCAAAGGCAGGAGTAACCCCTGTGTATTGCTGGGTGTCACCCCAAAATGCCAAAAAAAAAAAAGGCAGGCAGGACGGGAAGGACCCAGGTATCACCAAGCAGGGACGGCAACGCTCGGTGGCAGGTGCGGGGCCATCGCGTCTGAAGAATAAACATTAATAAACGTGAATGCTGTTGTAAACCTTGTTAGCTCAGTAATAAGTTTCAAAAACTCAGCCAATATTAAAGGCTATAAATGACCTCATGTTTTGTTGATTTATTGGGGGTGCAGGGATGGGGCCACATCTGGGGGACCATATGAACCCTAGTCGGAACGTTGCCAACGCCATAACGCCTGTTCTCTGCGTCCTTGACCTCGCCTTAGAGCGAGCACTTCCCTCATTACCCCTGAGGGAGGAGACACTGATTGGGCTTGTCTTGCTCTCACGGTTCATATCTGTTTACTCTTCTTTTCAGAAGGAAAGACTCCCGTTCCCGCCTCTGCGGTGTGCTTCGCCGTCACTCTGATTTCAGAGTAGGGTAAAAACTGTTTGGGTTTGTTTCTAGCAATAAAACATCAACAGTTTTGGGGCTGGAGCAATAGCACAGCAGGTAGGGCGTTCGCCTTGTACGCGGCAGACTCGGGTTCAATTCTCAGCATCCCCTATGGTCCCCTGAGCACCGCCCAGGGGTAATTCCTGAGCGCAGAGCCAGGAGTAACCCCTGTGCATCGCCGGGTGTGACCCAAAAAGCAAAAATAAAATAACAACAAAAAAACCCCAACAGTTTTGCAAAGAAATATGCCTGTCGTAGGGATGGAGAGCTTGCCTTGCATGTGGCCAACCCTGGTTCGATCCCCAGCTCACCGCATTGTCCCTCTGAGCCCACCAGGAGTGATCCCTGAGTGCAGAGCCAGGGATGTGACCCCAAAACCAAAACCAAACTAACCAATAAAAAAGAAACCCAACAAACAAAAACGTTGCCTTTTATTTTTTGGTGGTGGGGGGGTCTCCCTCACCCTGTCTGATTGTGCTCTGGGGGGCTGGGATTAAACCCAGGTTTAATCCCCGCCTGCCCACCCTATGGCTCCAGCCGGGAACTTGTTTATCTTTTCCTGGTGATTTCTCCTCTTTTCTCTAATCCATCAAAACCACTCACTTTCGTTCTGTCCATTTCGAGAATTGGTGATGAGCGGTGACAGCATCTTTTTAATAAAAAGCAGAGAATGTTCTTTCCTTTTGTTTTGGATTCTGGGGCTGCGTGCTGTAGTGCCCAGGGGCTATTTCTGGATTGCGGCTCAGCCTCGAGGACCACGCAGTCCTGGGGGGTCAAACCTGGACCTGCCTGACTCATCCTTCATCCTAGAGCTATAGCAGTGGGGACGGGGGCGTTCAGGAAATGAGGATATGCAGGTTCCTCCCAGAAACATCTGGAAGGTGACAGACCCCACCTTTTTTTGGGGGGGGCTTTTTTGTTCACCCAGCGATGCTCAAGGGTCACTCGTGGCTCTGCACACAGGAGTTACTCCTGGTGATGCTCGGGGACTAGATGGAATGCCGGGGATCGAACCCGGGTCAGCCGTGTACTAGCAAACACCCTCCCTGTTACATTATCGCTCTGGCCCAGATCCCAACATTTTAAGACTGCTTCTTTCTATTTTTGTTCACTTGGGGGCCACACCCAGCAGTGCTCAGGGGACCATCCGGTGCCAGGGGTGAAACCTGCTGGCAAAGCTTTTTCTACAGCAGGTAAGTTCCCTGGCTTGCCTACAGCCGACCCGGGTTTGATTCCCAGCATCCTATATGATCCCCTGAGCACCACCAAGAGTGGTTCCTGAGCACAGAGCCAGGAGTAACCCCTGAGCACTGCTGCGTGTGGCCAAAAATACCCCCCAAACCAAAAGACCCTTTTGTTGCAACCCTTTGCTGTACCTCTCAGCCACAGTGGGCATTCCTGTGGAACGGAGCAGAGCTGGGAACAATTTGCTCTTCAGACCCTGCCGGGACCCTGGAGTTTGGGGGGGACACAATGTCCCTCTCCTCCCTGTGAATCTAACCTATAGGAGACCTCATTCCCTTGGCCACAGCTTTGAGGGTCAAGGGGTTGTATGTCTGTGCTGACTCCCACAGACCCCCTAGAGTACCCCCTGGGCTAGAAGCAGCCTTCTCTCTGTCTGGGGGTTTGGCTGCCAAGTGGGGGTGCCGCCCTGCCGTCGAGAGGAAGAGAAAGAGCCGCAGAGATGGCGGGAGTGACCCGTCGGGACCCTGCTGCTCAGCTCAGCCTTCCACCGTGGGGTGCCCGGAGTTCAGCCCTCCGCTGGAACCCTGGTGTCTTTCTGGTAACTTGTGTCATTTTCCCGCAAGCAAAGGCATTCTTGCTCTGTGTAAATATTTCTTTTTAAGATGGAGAATGTGCTGGTTTAAAGAGAAAGCCAAAACGCTTCCAGCCTCGCCGAGGGGCGGGCAAACCCTAAAGGGAGCGGAAGGGAGGTCCAAGTCATCAGGAAGACGGAGGCCACCTCGGCAGGGCAGGAGTGCGGGCAGTGGGGTGAGCAGGAGTCGGGGGACCCCTCCCCACCTCCTCTGGCATGTTGGTGGGAAGGGGGGAGCCGGCACCCAGGAAGTGCCTGTTGGGGGAGAGAGTTGGGTCACACTTGGCGGTGCTCAGGGATCGCTCCTGGTGGTGTTGGGGAGGGACCCAGGGCCACACACATACGAGGCCGGTGTCCTGCCTGCTGGACCGTCTCTCCAGCCCCCAGACTCTTTATTTTTGATTTGCTGTGCCAGGGATCGGCCTAGGGCCTCACCATGCGAGGTGAGCACTCTCCTCCGAGTCCTGACCCAGGAAATGTGGTCTGAGCAGGGGCTAAGGAAGACGGGGACGGAGGGGGGGCCTCCCCGGCTGTGCCCTGGACAAAGGAGGCCCGCTCTTGGAGCCTGTTTACTTCCTGGCTTGTTTATCACCCCTGAGGCCTGGGGTCACAGCTGGCCCTGCGCTCAGCAGCACAGGCCTGATGGTTTCGTTTCTGGGCCCTCCGATGGATGGGTGCTGGGGTGCGGGGCCCCTCACTGTGCTGGGGGTCCCCAAGGGCCAAGTCGACCACTTCCACCCGGTCTAGCTCCCAGGTTTTGAAGGCCCGCAGCGGTCCAGGCGCGTGTCGGGGGTCTTCCTGGGGCTCAGCCCTGCCCGTCTCAGCTGTGCCCTGGGCCTCTGAGCGGGGACAGGCCAGCAGCCCCCCACCTCGGTTTGGCACGGGGATGGAGGGGGCGTGTGCGCCCTGAATTTCTCCCCAAGGAAAGCCTTGCGCAAGAGGCCACGGCCAGGTCTCTTGGCCCCCTGCCGGGCCCCAGGAGCGGGCGCGAGCCCCCCCTCCCCGGCCTGGCCCTCGGCCACCGTCACGTGGACGGTCCCTCTCTGGCCGGCTTCCTCCGGGATCCGGATGGAACTCGCCCCCGCCCCCCGCAGCCTCCCAGCGCGATCGCAGGCGCAGGTGCCCAGCCCGCGCGGACCCCCGGCCTCAGCGCGCCCCCTCCCTGGCCCGGCGCTGCCTGTCCGCCCCCCTGGCCCCCGCAGTGGCCCGGCGGGTGGGGTCCGCACTGGGCGCCGCGAGGCTCCTCCTCCTGACATCAGAGCCGGCGGGTCGGGCGGAGCGGGCCGGGCGCGCGGGCCGCGGACTCGCCTCCAGCCGCCCAGGTAGGGCCGGGCGCGGGGACAGCGCGGGGACAGCGCGGGGGATGCGTCGGGGGCGCGCGGGGGCTCCGGGCGGTCCGCACACGCGGGCTGCAGGAGCGGCTCCCGCTGCGGCGCGCCACTCGCGGCCGGTGGCGCGTCCGCCTGGGCGGGGGTGTCCGCGCTCGGGCCGGCCAGGAGAGCCCAGAGGTGCCCAGAGGTGCCCAGAGGCGCCCAGAGGCGCCCCGAGATGCCCGAGGCGCGCGCTTCGCTGCTGGGCGGCGCGGGTGGGCGGGAGGCGGGGTGGCCGGCCGGGGCGCTGGTGGGGGGCCGAGTGTGGATGTGGGGGCGCTGGTGTGGCGTCAGAGGTGGGACTGGGTGCCGCTGTGTGGGGCCCAGGGTGAAAACCGCGGTGGGGGTGTGCCGGGGGCTGAACCCGCAGAGGCCGCCAGGTGCGAACCCTTTCCTGGCAGTTCCTGCACCTGGGATGGGTGGCCGGCGCTCAGCCCCCAGCCCCCGGGACTTCCGCCCAGGGCCATAGGCAAGGCCCTCCTGTCCCCAGCAGCCCCCCTGAGGCCAGCAGCTCCCCAGGCTTTGGGTTGAGGGGCTGCACCGTGGAGAGGCCAGGGGGTCCCTGGTGGGAGTCATTTGGGCACCTCTGGACCCGTGGCCTCGCCCCCCAGTCAGCGGGCCCCAGAAGCCCCCCTCTCCTGCAGGGCGGGACAGAGGCGTGGGGCCCAGCTCTGGCTGCAGCACGTCCCCAGCCGGGTGGGACCGTCTTCCAGACTGCCCAGACCTAAGGGGGAGTCTGGCCGGGGGGTGGGAGTCCGGGGAGCTCCAGCTGCGGCTGCTGTTGCCATGGGAACTGAGCAGGAGCTATTTTAAAATGTGCTGAGATACTTCTGGAAGCCCAGGCCGCCGGAAACCTGATTTTTGGGGGGGCCCGGAGGGGAGCGGAGACCGCCTCTCAATCCCCAGGGGAGCTGGGGCCTCTAGGAATGGGGTCCTCAGCCACACCCCCAGGCAGCTCTGGGATGCTCTCTGCTGATCCCCCACTAGGTGCTGGGGTTTGGGGAGGGTGACATGGAGCATGAATGAATCAGTGAATGGAAGGCCGATGAATGACTTTGCTGAATGAAGGCGTCTCTGCCACCAGATAATTCCTCTGCTTCCCGGGTACTTGTGGAACGGCTGTTGCACCACTGGCAGACAGGTGAATGATGTGTATTCTTGGATGGGCGAATGAAAGATGTGTGTCCAGTGGATGGGTGAATGAATGATGTGTGTTCAGTGAATTGGTGAGTGAGTGATGTGTTCGGTGGATGGATGAATGGTGTGTGGTCAGTGGATAGTGCATGAACGATACATGTTCAGTGGACAGAGTGAATGAATGATGTGTTTGTCAGACAGGTGAATGAGTGTGTGTGTTCAGTGGACAGGGTGAGTAAATGACATGTTCAGTGGACAAGGTCAATGAGTGCTATGTGTTTGGTGGATGGGGTGAATGAATGATGTGTGATCAGCAGATGGGACAAACGAATGATATATGTTCAGTGGACAGGGTGAATGAGTGATATATGTTCAGTGGATGGGGTGAATGAGTGATGCGAGTTCAGTGGACGAGGTGAATGAGTGATGTGTGTTGAAGGATTTTCTCCGCTGAGTCGCGGGATGAAGGGACTCAGGCCGTCACTGAGCCCCCACGCCCCTGAGTCTTCTCCGTCCCTCTCCTCGCAGGAGCCCTGGCGGAGGCCAAGGGGCCGTGGGCCATGCCGGGGGCGGTGGACAGACCCACCTGGAAGCAGGCGGACAACATTCGGGACATTTATGACTTCCGTGATGTGCTGGGAACGTGAGTCTGGGGTAGCAGAGGATGGGGGTGCTTCCTGAGGGGGGGCTGGAGTGGAGGCGGCCGGGGCAGGGGCGTTGCTGGCCCCGGTCAGCAGCTCCCCACTTCCTGTTTCCTTGCCGCCTGCCGGCCGGGGCTGGGCACCCGCCGGGTTCTGGCTTTTCCTTCAGCCTGACAGTGGGCGGAGCTGCCGGGCCCGACCACTCGACCACTCGGGGCTCTCGTGAAGAGGAGGATGCGGGCGGAACCAAGGGTTCCGCCGCTCCAGACTGCTGCCAAGTGCCGGCAGCGCGGGCTCGGGAAGCTGGGCACGACTCTGTTTGCAGAGCTGGGAGTCCAGAAATAACTCAGACCTGGTCTCTGCCCAGGAGAGAGACAGGGACAGAGACAGAGATAGACGGAGACAGAGAGGGAGACAGAGACAGAGAGACAGAGACAGACAGACTGACAGACAGAGACAGACAGACTGACAAGACAGAGACTGACAGAGACAGAGAGCGACAGAGAGACACACAGAGAGAGACAGAGACAGAGAGACAGAGACAGACCGACAGAGACAGACAGACTGACAGAGACAGAAAACGACAGAGACACAGAGAGAGACAGAGACAGACAGATTGACAGAGACAGAGAGACAGAGACAGACAGACCGACAGGGATAGAGACAGAGGGGCCTTGGATTGTGCCCAGGAGTAGTGGGGTGAGTCCAGAGTCCGGTGTTAGCTGAGAGGTGCCGAACGCCAGGGCCAAGGAGCGTGTTTTCTTTCCAAGTGGGCTTCTCCCACCCCCGGAGTCGGGGGGTGGGGTTGGGGGCACCTCAGGAGCCTTCTGGGGGGCTGGGTTGGGAATCGGCCGTTCCACAGACTTCCCTGGCGGTGCTGCTGGTTCTTTGCTGGTCTCAAGCCAGGCGTCAACAAGATGTTAGCAGGAAGGGCACCGGCCGGGCACCAGCCGCAGAGCTCGGGAGCAGACCTCAGCGCTGGCGGGCCCAGGGCTTGGCACGCGTGTCCAGGCCCCAGCCCGGGTGTGCGCTGCGTCGGCTTGTTGATCTTCCTGAGCCGGCCGGGTTGTGCGTTTGTTCCAGGCCTGCATTCTAGCAGCTTAGCAGCACCGGGCACCTCATTCTCGAGATTCCTGTGACCAGGCTTGTGTCCCATGACCCAGTTACCATGGCCAGGGCACAGCCCACTCGGATGGGCCCCGTCTGCCTGGCTTGTGTGCCCGCTTCTGGCACCAGGGCTGGGCCAGTGGTTCGGGGATTATCTTGGTTCCGAAGGGGCCACCGAACGCCCCGGGGGCGGAGGAGAGGCTGGAGCCTCTCCCCACCCTCACGGGCCCCTGTCCCGGCAGCGGGGCCTTCTCGGAGGTGATCCTGGCCGAAGACAAGAGGACCCAGAAGCTGGTGGCCATCAAGTGCATCTCCAAGAAGGCGCTGGAGGGCAAGGAGGGCAGTATGGAGAACGAGATCGCCGTCCTGCACAAGTGCGTGGCCACCCCCGCACCCCTCCCCTGCTCCGGGCGGGCCATCCACCTCTACCCAGCGTGCTTGCTTATGACGTGGGGGAAAGCCCCCATCTGGGAAGGTCGTGGGGAAGCGCCACAGCCCCGTATCCCAAGAGCCTGATAGACGTGGGCACATGCCACCACGTGGCTCAGCAGTGCCCAAGCGCTTTCCTGGGGTTACGGTCGGCCACCTGCGCCTGACCCCTGCCGCTGGCATGACCTCTGGAACCACTTGCATCCCCACCACGTAGGAAGGCAGGAGAGGGGCCCGTCTGGTGGCCCCTGCTAAGGTCGGCAGCCAGTGAGAGGCCGGGGCAGGTGGCAAACCCGGGCCTCGCAGGACAGCGACCAGGAGACGAGGGACAGTGCAGCGGGGAGGGCGCCTGCCTGTGTGGGCTCCACCCGGGCTCGCTCCCCGGCATCCCACAGGGTCCCCAAGCACTGTAAGCCCTGAGCATCGCCGGGTGTGACCCAGGAACCAGCCAAACAAGCACATGGACAGAGACGCTTCCCTGTCCTCCAGACATGCTCCCTGAGATTCCCAAGGATCCTTCCCACAGCCGGGGCCTGCCCAAGGCCACACAGCGGACTAGTCGGGGGAGGGGGGGTGTTTTCCTTGAAGCTCAGCTCCTGCCCCTTGTGGTCCAGGGGTTGGGTTCTCGGGTTCCTGACACCACACCCCGCATCCTGCCTGACCTCATGCACCCCTTGCTCTCAGCGCTGGCTCAGACTGTTTTTTTTTTTTTTTTGCTTTTTTGGGTCACACCCAGTGATGCTCAGGGGTTACTCCTGGCTCTGCACTCAGGAATCACTTCTGACGGTGCTCGGGGGACCATATGGGGTGCTGGGACTCGAACCCAGGTTGGCCGCGTGCAAGGCAAATGCCCCACCTGCTCACACAGGAGCAGGCCTGGGCTGGCGCTGCTGGTCTGTGGCGGAGGCTGGTGCAGACTCAGACTCTGTGTTTTGGCGGAAATGTCTCTGCAGTGGGGGGAGGGGCTGGCAGGAGGACTCCGCGCTCACCCAGGCCAGGGCCCAGCGCCCACTTCCAGTGCATTCTACCAATTCTACCGATCGCTCGCCACTCTAGGCTCAGCCCCGCGGCGTGTGCCCACGCTGGCCGCGGCGGGTTCAGCTAAGGCTGTGCTGGCTGAACTCTCGGCCCGGAACCGGCCCGTTTCTGGGCTGGAGCCAGAGGACAGTGGGGAGGGCTCTGGCCTTGCGTGTGGCCGACCGGGGTTCAATCCCAGGCAGTGCCGAGGGTGCCCCGAGTCTCGCCAGCGGCAGTCCCCGAGCACTGAGCCAGGAGTCAGCCCTGAGCACGGCCTGGGTGTGGCCCCCGAAGCAAGCCACGTGTCCCTTCTCCCGTCAGGATCAAGCACCCGAACATCGTGGCGCTGGATGACATCTACGAGAGTGCAGGTCACCTCTACCTCATCATGCAGCTGTGAGTGGCCCTAACCCCGCACCCCCGCCCGCCCCGCCCGTCCCCGCCTGCCCCTGCCCAGGCCAGACCGCTCTGTGCCCTGCAGCGTCTCTGGCGGGGAGCTGTTCGACCGGATCGTGGAGAAGGGCTTCTACACGGAGCGCGACGCCAGCCGCCTCATCTGCCAGGTGCTGGATGCCGTCAAGTACCTCCACGACCTGGGCATCGTCCACCGCGACCTCAAGGTGGGGGGTGTGGGCACGGCGGGCCTTCCGGGGTGTCCTCGCTGGGGGCGGCTCCCTCCCTGAGCCCCAGCTTCCACAGGACTCAAGGGTTCCGGCCTCACCGCCTCCTGCCCTTCAGCGGGCCCCGAGGCCTCTCCCCCTCCCCCCTCAGTCTGTGCCTGACTGCCAGAGGTCCTGAGTGCCCATTCCTCAAAGGAAGGGGCCGCCTCTGTCAGCAGCTGCAGGGACACTGCCCCAGGCTCGGAATGTCCCTCGGCCTGCGGGCCGGTTTCCTCTGGAATGTGGCTGATCATACTGGCCTGGCAGAGATCAAGCTTCAGTACCGGGGCTTGACCATCAGGGCGTCTCTCTCAGCACATACCCACAGAGACGCAGGAGGGCATTTGCCTTGCACACAGCGGGCCCACCTTTGAACCCTGGCGCCCTGGATGGCCCCCTGAGCCCCGCCAGGAAGAAACCCTGAGCACAGAGCCAGGAGTGCTGAGTGTCCACCGGATGAGGCCCCGAAACAAAAACAAAAAGAGACAAGTTTCTAGAAAGTTCCCACCCACCTTCCCCGGCTCTAATCCTTTTCAGCAGTTTTAATTTCTTTGAGAATCTCCTTGCTGTCCTGGGGCTCTGTCCGGGATGGCAGTGTTGGGGTGCTCCCTGGCATCTTGTGAGCCCACCCCCGCGTGTCCCTGCGCCCCCCAGCCCGAGAACCTGCTCTATGACAGCCCGGATGAGGACTCCAAGATCATGATCTCCGACTTTGGCCTGTCCAAGATGGAGGACGCCAGCAGCGTGCTGTCCACGGCCTGTGGGACCCCCGGCTACGTGGGTGCGGAGGGGCCTGGGCTGGGGCCACGGGCGGGGAGGGGTGAGGTGGGCCGGGCAGGCCAGTGAGCACTGCGTCCACTCCCCCCAGCCCCCGAGGTCCTGGCCCAGAAGCCCTACAGCAAGGCCGTGGATTGCTGGTCCATCGGCGTCATCGCCTACATCCTGTGAGTGTGGGGGCGCGGGCTTGGCCCCCCTGCTGCCCTCCCCCTGCTCCCTCCTGCCCACCGCCCAGGCAGGCACCGAGCCAAGGCCTCTTCAGCCCTCTGGCACTGGGGACCCAGCAGGAACTGTGTCCTCAGGGACGGCCGCGCAGCGACTGGCCCATAAAGCAACACCAGGCAGGCCTGGAACCAGCCGGCCCGCGGGGAGGGGGAGAGGCCGTTTCGGAGGTCACGTCTCGGGGTCCTGAGTGAAGCAGGAAGCCGGAAGAGCTGCGAGGGGGGAAGGCACCAGGGGGCGAGGGGTGGCCCTGGGGCTGAGACAATGCCGGAAGCTTCTCCCCACAGGCTCTGCGGCTACCCGCCCTTCTACGACGAGAACGACGCCAAGCTCTTCGAGCAGATCCTGAAGGCCGAGTACGAGTTTGACTCTCCGTACTGGGACGACATCTCGGACTCAGGTCTGGGGGCTTCGCCGTCCTTGGGGCCCTGCTGCGGTGCTTCCCCGCCTGGGGCCGGTCCCGAGTGCTCCCCACCCCACCCCACGGCAGCCACCTGTCTGGGGGACCCACAGGCTTCTTGCATCCTCAGAACTTCAGTCACAGGGGCTGCAGCTGGCTCTGTGCTTAGGTGCCACCCCTGGCAGCCTCGGGGGACCCTACATGGTGCTGGGATGGAATCAGGGTCGGCTGCAAGCGAGGCCAGTGCTGGAACCCATGGCCCGTCTCCAGCCTCCACAGGCAGTGGTTTTGGAAACTTCCCTGCCCTCGCGCCTGAAACACCCCATAAAACATTCCATCCTTGGGGCTGGAGCGATAGCACGACGGGTAGGGCATTTGCCTTGCATGTGGCCGACCCTGGTTCAATTCCCAGCATCCCATATGGTCCCTGAGCACTGCCGGGAGTGATTCCTGAGTGCAGAGCCAGGAGTAACCCCTGAGCATCATCGGGTGTGAACCGAAAAGAAAAAAACAATAATTCCATCCTTCCCTTTTGGTCACTGGGAGGAAGCCAAATTTGGCAGTGGAACTGCCCGCCCTTGCTTTGTGACCACTGCCGGATGCCTGGGTCCGAGCTAGGACACTCATCAGCGAGGCTGGCGGAACAGGCAGGTGTGAGAGCCAGCGGGAGCAAACCTGCAGCCTTGCGCTGCCAAGTCACCACCGGGCCCCAAACAAGTTTTCATTCTTTTTTTTCTGTTTTGGCCACGTCTGGTGGTGCTCAGGGCTTACTCGTGACTGTACTCAGGGATCATTCCAGGCAGGGCTCGGGGGACCATCTGGGGTGTTGGGGATCAAACCAACCAAGGTTGGCCACGTGCAAGGCAAACACCCTCCCTGCTGCACTGTTGGCCCGAAACAAGTATTCCTTAGGGAGAGACACGTACAAGTTCTGGGTGGGGCTGGGCTCTGTGTGGGGTCCCTGGGGGAGCACCCCAGGATCCGAGCTCTGTGGGATCCGCGGGGAGCACCCAGGGGCCAGGCTCTCTGTGGGGCCCCCGGGGAGCACCGTTGTGCTGATCCTTGATCTCTGTCTCGCGGTGCTTCAGCCAAAGACTTCATCCGGCACCTGATGGAGAAGGAGCCCGAGAAGAGGTTCACCTGCGAGCAGGCCCTGCAGCACCCATGGTGAGCGCCCCCCCGGGGGGCTGGGCCTGGGGACCTCAGGCTGCCTCCAGCTTCACACATGCCCCAAACCCGCAGGATTGCGGGAGACACGGCGCTAGACAAGAACATCCACCAGTCGGTGAGTGAGCAGATCAAGAAGAACTTCGCCAAGAGCAAGTGGAAGGTGAGTGCTCGCGCCGCGCCGGGGTCCCAGGGCCCGCCCTCCGGGACCCTCCACCTTCCTTCCTCGTTCGCCCAAGTCTCTCAACGACTCCTCCCGAGAAGCCATCCCACCCAACAGAGAAGGCTCTAGAAGGGTCTGAGAGCCCCGTTAGACTGACCGACGCACAGCGGTGGCGGGGGGCAGTGTGCCAAGGGCCAGGGATGAGAGCGCTCCACCTCTCAGCTGGGAGCCCGTGGGGGTCCCCGCGGGAACAGCCTGGAGAGACTCAGGCTGCAGTGAGAGGCCGGGGGGGCCCTTGGACGGCTGTGGCCCGGGCACGGGCAGCAGCCAAGAGCCAGAGCTGGCGATCCAGGGATTCTTCCGGAGATGTCAGAGGACTGTCACAGGGAGGACCATCAGGGAGCCTCCTACTGTGGCAGGGGACAAAAGGGTCATGGCACGGTGTGGGGTGGACTCACGCTTGCCACAGTCAATATGGCAGGGCAGGGGAGAATGCAGTGGCCTGCTGAGAATGGCACAGACCCACAGTGGGGCAAGCTCCTTACCCCGTGCCTCAGTTTCTCCCTTTGACAAAGGTGACACGGAGGACACGGCAGGGCCAGGGCAGCAGTCACGAGGGCTGGGCCATGGGCGCAGTCACATCCTGGGCTCCATCCCTGGCACTCGGATGGTCTCTGAGTCCTGCCCAGGTACTCCCTGAGCAGAGCCAGGATCATCAAACGCAGCTCCCGCCACCCACGGTGCACTAAGCACCCATGTGTGCAGTTACACTTCCAACTGTTTGCGGAGTGACCCGAGCTCAGAGCCAGAAGTAAACCTTGAGCACGCCCGGGTGTGGCCCCCGGAGGGAACAAGAGCGCCCCCTGCCCTGGATGCAGTAGAGGGCCTCCCGGGACCGCAGAGCTGGGTGTAGGTTTGGGGGGTGGGTGGCATAGGGGGCGGTCCCTTTTGGAAGGAAAGGCCGGAACTCGCGCAAGCCCCGCCCTGGGGGTCCCTGCCACCCACCCGCCTCTCCTGCAGCAAGCGTTCAATGCCACGGCCGTGGTGCGGCACATGCGGCGGCTGCAGCTGGGCGCCAGCCAGGAGGGGCCGGGCCCGACGCCGAGCCACGGGGAGCTGCTGCCGCGGGCCGCCGGCGGTGAGTGCGGGGGGGCGCCCTGGGGGGCTGCGGGGGCCCGCGTTCCACCCCTACCACCCCTCTCTCCCCCCGCAGGGCCCGTGGCCGCCTGCTGCTGCCGCGACTGCTGCGTGGGGCGGGGCCCCGAGCGCCCCCCGACCCTGCCCCCCCAGCTCTAGGCCAGGAAGAGCCTCCTGCTCCCCCCGCCCCCCGCCCTCACTGCATTTTCCATACAAATGTTTCTATTTTATTGTTCCTTCTTATAATAAAGGGAGAGGGCACCCCGGAAGGCGCGCCGTCTCCCCAGGAAGCCCCGCTCCGTGTCCCGGTGCCCAGCTGCTTGATTGGATGCGTCGTGGCCCCCGGGTGGGGGGCGTCACCCCTCCGGTTCTGCAGCTCTCCTCCTCCGCTTGGCCGGGGGCTTCCGAGTGGGCCGGGGCTGGCGCAGGGCAGCGCTGAACAGCACCTGGGCGAGGGAGGTGATGGGTCAGGAGGGCGCTGGGGGGGGCGGAGAGAGGCAGGGCCTGGGGCTCCCTGGGCCTTGGCACTCACCGCTTGAGCCCAACCAGCGTAAGGTCCCCACAGGCTCCGGAAAAAGTCGCCTAAGCGGGAAGCGAGGTGAAGTTCAGGGCAGGGCTGGCCCCACACAGGCGGCTCCTCCGAGGGGGCTGAGAGGCGACCCCCCTCCCGCCCTCCTCACCTAGCTCCCTGCTGGCGTGCGGGCTGAGCCCCTGGGCCTGGCTGATGCTGGGGCGCCACCCATAGTCCCGCTGGGCGATCTGCCACACGTGGACGTCCACGGGCACAGCCTGGGGCTTGTCCAGGGCCATCAGGCAGATGCAGTCGGCGACCTCGGACAGACAGGGCAAGGCCTCAATGGGGCTCGGTGGGCTCTGGCCGGGGTCCCGCTTCCACCCCACAGCCAGCTGTGTCCTCCACGCTGAGGTCACCGAGTCTCCTTCATCCCAGGCAGTGCAGGTTGTTCTAAGAATGCAGGAGGAACGGGGAGGGGGGAGCGCCGTGTCCAGGAGATCCCTGGCAACACACACACACACACACACACACACACACTAAGGTTTCAAAGACAGGGCTGGAGCGATAGCACAGTGGGTAGGGTGTCTGCCTTGCACGCGGCAACCTGGGTTCGATCCCCAGCATCCCATATGGTCCCCCGAGCACCGCCAGGAGTGATTCCTGAGTGCAGAGCCAGGAGTAACCCCTGAGCATCGCTGGGTGTGATCCCCCAAAAAAGCCAAAAAAAAAAAAAAACCCAAAGACATTCTTTGGTTTGTCTTTAGTTTTTGGGCCATGCCCGGCAGTGCTCACGGCTTCCTCCTGGGGGTGCTCTGGGGTCCAGATCCAAGCCTGGGGCTCTGTCCAGCTCTCTGAGTCACAGACTGGCCCTCTCATATATTTCTTTACTCAAAAAGGAGCTGCAGGGAGGTAGCTTGGTGGCACCGTTCTTGCCTTGCACGGTCAATGGCACCACGTGGTCCCCCTAGCACATCTGGGGGCAGTGCCAGATGACAGGCAGCTGTGATGACCCTGGGGGCTGGGCTCCTAGCAGAGGTGGGAGGATGTCGCCGAGTAAAGTCAGGCTCCAAAAGGGAAGACGACCTGGTGAAGGTGGTCATGCCGGGCAGACCCGAGACTCACCGCCAGGCCGGAGCTCAGAGCCTACTGGATAAAAGGGTCTTTACATTAATAAATAAATAAAGGGCGCGCGCGCGCGTGTGTGTGTGTGGTGCTGGTGATTAAACCTAGGACCATACACATACAAGACAAATAACTATGGCCGAGCAATGTCTTGGTCCCCCCACATCATTTTATTTTGTTCTGTTTTGTATTTTTGCCACACACACGGCAATGCTCAGGGGTTACTCCAGGCTCTGCTCTGGGAACCCTATGGGATCTCGGGGATTGAATCTGGGTGAGCCGTGTGCAAGGCAAGTGCCTTCCTGGCTGTACTACTGACCCCCAAAATAAGTTTTTCAAACTAGAGAGAAAAAAAGAAAGGCATGTTCACCAGGGTCTGTGTGTGTGTGTGTGTCAGTTTGGGCCACATGCAAGGAAAGAATTCGAACCCTGTGCCATCTCTCTGGCCAATAATGAGTCACACCTGACAGTGTTCAGTGGTAACTCCTGGCTCTGCGCTCAGGAATCACTCCTGGCAGAACTCAGGGCACTATACTGTCTGCCAAGGATCGAACCCAGGTCAGCGGCATGCAAGGCCAGCCCCCGACAGCTGTACTATTGCTCCAGCCCCACTAACCATTACCTTACCTGGAGCTTGCCCTGTTGACATTAAACAGACACTTTTAGGACAATGCAGAGGCTGGGGTGCCTGCTTGAATGCCGTCAACCCTGTTCTGAATCCCTTATACCTCAAAAGGTCCCCTGAGCATTGCTGGATTGCTGGTCACTCCTGAGCTCAGAGCCAGGTGTAAGCCCTGAGCACAGCTGGATGGACACCCCCCTCCTCCCCCAACCAAACCAGAAAAAAAAAAAGACTTCAAAAAAACAAAAGTGAGCAAAAATTAATTTTAAACAAGTCGTAAGTACAGATGAGTTCAAGAAAAGGACAATAGGAAAAGGAGAAACTTCTCGCCACTCATCTCCCCAAAGGTAACCACTACTGTTTCCTAGGATTCATTCTAGAAATTTCTGCACACACACACACACACACACACACACACACACACACCCCATATATGTGCATCTGGGCTCAACAGTGCCTTTGGGTGGCTCAGCAGGCTTCCATGGAGATGTGGGTTCAATCCCCAGCACCCCCTGGTTCCACAAGCATCACTGGAAGTGACCTCTGAGCACCATGAGGTCACCATGAGGACCCTGAGTGCCAGCTGCATCCCCCAACCTCCTGTCCACCCTCCCTTCTCCCCCCGCAAACAACTACAAAATCTTGCACTCAAAGGCACCATCCTTCGTAGCTTTCCGATCACGGTTGTGGGGGCCCAGAGATGGCAGAGCAGGGGTCTTACAGCGTCCAGCCCAACCTGGGCTCATTCCCAGTTTCCCTAAGCACGAGCACAGAACCAGGTGTCAGCCCAGAACACTGTCAGAAGTGCCCAAAAACAAACGAAAAGCCCCCAGACAAACGAAAGGAAGAAAGCAACGCCCCCGGGAGTCACGCCACGGGCGCCAAAGGCTCCGATCCTGACGCTGCTCCCCGGGTCTCACCTTGGTGCCCACCCCGGGCAGGGTGCACAGGGCCCGGTGGGCCTCCTCGTAGGGCGCCTCGCACAGCTGCTGTAGCCAGGGCAGACCGCCCTGGTCCTGCAGGATGGCCCGGGCGCTGGCGCTCACGTAGCGGGCGCGGTACCCCAGGCCCAGCTGCCGGAGCTGCGCCTCCACGGCCGGCCCTGTGGGGATGGGGACAGCAGGGCTCAGGCAGCCCCGGGCAAGCAGGTGTCCCCCAGCTCCCCTCTCGCTCCTCCCCTGCCTCCCGGAGCCACCAGGGCTATGCAGGAGCTCCGGCTGCTTCCTTAAGCTCTCCCAAGGACACCCAACACTAGCCAACCGCTGCTCGGATCACGGGCTTCCGGCTCAACACCAAACCCACTCTTTGCAAGGATCCTGCTGGTGATACTGTCACTGTCCCCATTTGCGGATAGAGGGAGGGCTCAGATGAGGTTGGGGGTGGAGTGAATAGGACAGCAGGTAGGGCATTTGCCTGGCACGCAGCTGACCCGGGTTCTAGCCCCTGACATCCAATAGGGTCCCCTTAGCACTGCCATGAGTGATTCCTGAGAAACTCCTGAGCATCGCGCCAGGTGTGACCCAAAAACAAAACAAAACAAAACGAAAAGAAAGAAGGAAAGAAAGAAAGGACGAGGTGGGGATGCAGCAGGGAGGGCTTCTGCCTCGCATGCAACTGACCCAGGTTCAATCCCCGGCATCCCAGAGGGTCCCCTGAGTCCCACCAGGAGTAAGTCCAGAGCACTACTGGATGTGTAGTCCCAAAGGACAAGGTAGAAAAGGGATTTCAGGCCACTGAGACTCTTAGCGAACTGACAAATCTCCCCCCACCCCCAAAGGACAAGGTAGAAAAGGGATTTCGGGCCACTGAGAGTGCTCAGGCGACCACAAGGGACTGGGGACCCCACCCAGGTCTGCATGCAAGTGTGTGCCCCCTCCCACTGAGCTCCCTCTCCGGCCCCAGAATTTCTTCCTTTTAAAAATAATTCTTGGGGGCTGGAGCAATAGCACAGCGGATAGGGTGTTTGCCTTGCACACGGCCGACCCGGGTTCGACTCCCAGCATCCCAGATGGTTCCCTGAGCATCGTCAGGGGTAATTCCTGAGTGCAAAGCCAGGAGTAACCCCTGTGCATTGCCGGGTATGACCCAAAAAGAAAAAAAATAATAATCCTGATAGCACATACAGTAGGGCGTTTGCCTTGTACGCAGCCGACCTGGGCTTGAACCCCGGCATCCCATGCAGTCCCTCAATTACTGCCAGGAGTAATTCCTGGGTGCAGAAGCAGGATCTCAAGCATTGCTGGATATAAACCCCCCCCCAAAAAAAAGCAAAAATGTGAGTAAATTAAAATTTAAAAATAATTTTTAAAAATTCCACTGGGGGCCACACTCCTGAGGGTGTGCAGGGTGCCATGCCGGGACAGGGACTGAATTCAGGGTCACTGCGGGTCTGAGCAGAAACCAACCACCTGAGTTAACTCCCTGCCCACCCCCCTTACTCTGAGGGCCATTGTCCAGTGGTGCTGGGGGGGAGTGGTGGCCACTCCCAGCGACCCCGTGCTGGCGAGTCCCGTGTGTCCAGTCAGAGTCGGCAGTGCGTGGGTTCCCCCAGGGCTACCCCCACTGGCATGAGTGGCCGACTGGGGCTGGAACCCGGGGCCTTGCCTGTGAAGCACGAGTCCTCCCACCCCAGCCCGGGCACTGAGTTCCCTATGATTCCCAAACTGGAAACTGAGACTCTCAGCGAACTGACAAGCTCCCCCAACCCCAAATATTCTCCTTTTTCTCTCGGCTATGCTTCAATGCCCTTGGTTCTCACGGCCGCTAGCCAGCCAGAGACCTGTGTGGTACAGCCCAAGGGCCGGAGGCAGTACTGGAGGTACGGTGCTTGCATCGCGTGAGACATACCCAGTTTGATTCTTCGAACCGCAGAAGGTCCCCAAACACCATCAGGGGTGACTTATGAGCAAAGCCAGGAACAGCCCCTGAGCACCACCTTCTCCCCATGCCCCCAAATATCTTTGCCCTAAGGAGTGGCTGAGCGCGTGTCCTTGACTGGAGATTCTATGGGGCTAATTCATGTGAGTACGGGGACGCTTCCTGCCTCCCGCTGCCAGGCACGACGTGCCTTCCTGTGCTCAGCCTCTCGATAACTGAGGTGGCCGTTACTGTTTCCCATTCCACAGATGGGGAAACCGAGGCGTAGAGACTAAATAATCTGCTCAAGGCCACAGAGCTGGATGAGCAGAGTTGGAACACAGCCAGGTGATGGGAATGATCGGAGAACACGCGTTCTTCGCCCCAGCTGCAGGACCTGTGCCCAGGTGCATTGCTGAGTGGGCACGGACCGGGTGCAAGACGCAGTGATGAATGAGGGACAGAGGGAGGCGCTCTAATGGGGCGATCAGACTGGAGCGGGCGATTCTGGGAAGGCAGGGCACTGGTGAACTAACAGACCCTGAACATGCCCAGCCCACTCACCGGCCAGGGCCTGCAGGCTGGGGAAGCCGTGGTAGGTGACGTCGTCCAGCTGCATGAGCCGTGGCCCGAAGGCCTGGCAGAGCCGCTCCACCATGCCGGTGATGCGGGCGATGTTGTTGTTGGAGGAGCAGATGAAGGAGAAAAGGCACTCCACGGGGTCCTGCCGCAGGAGGCGCACGCCTGCGGGCGGAAAGCAGGGCTGGGGGCCGCCCCGGCTGTCCACGGGTGGCATGTCCTGTAGGCCTGGGCTGTCCTCCTGGGCCACAGAAGCCTGGACACTAGGGTTCACCAACCGCAGACAGCGCCCGTCACCCGCCCTACTCTAGCGGCAAGGATCTGGCTCCAACTCCCTGTCACTCCACTCTGGGCTCAGCAGAATAATAGTAATAAGAACGGCACCGGTGTCACCGCAGGGGCAAGAGCCCCAGCTCGGCCTCCGGTGCGGTCCTCACCTGGGAATTTCTGCGCCACCTTCTGGAAGTGGGGGTCCACGGAACCCCAGTGGCGGTAGAGCTGGGCCAGGCTGACGTCAAGCTGGAAGTACTGGCGCACGGTCTTCAGCTCCTCCGGCGTGGGCCTGCCCGCCGGGCCCGAGTCCGGCCGGTACACGGTGCAGAGCAGCTGCTCCTCGGTCTGCGTCAGCGTCCACACCTGGCCGGCCAGCACCCCGCTCCAGTGCGCGGGGCTCCGCTCGCTCCATCTGGGTCGGCAGGACCACAGCAGCCTCGGTTCCGGGCTCCCCCTCCTCCCCCATCCCGGGACGCCCCACTCCTTATGCAACACGTTTGCAAACTGCAAAATAAAACTGACTGACAAGATGCAGAGAAAAAGCGCCTTCGTATTTACATGCATCTGGTCGATCCCTGCAGCGACACCGCCGGGACTTGCCACCACTAATGCAGGGGGTTCGCGCCGGGTCTCCGTTTCCACGCTCGTACCCCAGTGCTCCGTGCCCCCCAGGCCTGCGGCTGCCGGCACTCACCGGAAGGACTGTCCGGAAGGCAGAACCAGGTCCAGGCGCAGCTCAGAGCGAGGACAGGGGATGGAGGACCACAGGGCGGGGGCGGAGGCCAGAGTGCGGTGGCCCATGCCGCCCCGCAGGTCTCCCCAGGCTCCGCCCCATGCTGTCCTCGCCCCGCCCCACGTGCCACGAGACCACGCCCTTTAAGCTTTGGGCCCGCCCAGTTTCGTTTAATTCCGCCACTCCTCGCAGGCCCCGCCCCTGGCCGACACGCCCCCGCGGCCTCCGCGCGCTTCCCGCTCCGCGAGTGGCTGCGACTGGGAAACGCGGCTTCCGGCTCGCCGGGGGGCGGAGCTCGCCCCACCGGAAGTCGAGTTCCCGCCGGCTTATTGGGCCTCCGGGTAGCCAATCGCGGCGGAGATGCGGAGGCCGGTGAGCGGCGCGTGGCGGCCGGCTGGCGGGGGGCCGCTGCGCCCGCCCCCCGCGCCCTCCTCGCCGGTCTCCGCCCCCGGGGTCGCTAGGGTTTCTACTCCCCTTTTCCCAGTCCTCCGCCCTCGGCAGCACCCGGGCCCCAGGAACTCCAGGCTCATTCATTTTCTAAGAATCAATATATTTTTTTTCTTTGAAATAAATACAAACCAGTTTGAAAGGTGGGGGGCCTATGGGACGAGGGCAGCGGGGACAGGCTTTTTGTTTAGTACCAAATGACTCTGGCGCGACCCGGAAACGCAGTTACAAATGAGAATAATTTAAATTCTCCGCTAATTACAGTATTTACAACAGCGGGGGAGGGGGTCACCTGGTGCCCCTCTTCCGGGCTGGACAGACATCAGTCCCACTGCTAGGCTGGGCAGATGCCGGCGCGCAGCCTGCGGCCCCGGGCAGGAGCAGGTGGCGCCGGTGGGGCAGCCTGTGCCGCAGCGTCCCGCCCCGGGCCCCACCGCGCTGCACGCGACCGAGGTCTCAGCCTTCTGGCCTGCGGACCTGCCCCTCTCCGGCGCTGGGAGTGTCCGGTACAGTCCAGCTGCACTCGGGGCAGGCGCGACCTCCCCCACCCGCTTCCCCTGAGACTGGCCCCAAGACCAGGAATGAGTCAGTGCAGAGGTGCCACTCGGGCAGGCTCAGTCGCTGTCGCTGCTGTCGCTGCTCTGCTCGCCCTGCACCTTGCTGCGGTGCTGCAGGGCGCGGTGGTAGGCGATCTGCACCGACTTGCGGATGTTGGACTTGCGGCCCTCCAGCATCTTCTCCTTGTCCAGGTCCTGGTTCACGCCCAGAGGAACCAGCTTGGTCCTGGGCAGCCACTGCCTGTGGGGCAAGGCAAGGCACAAAGTCACAGCCGGGAGTCCCTGCCCGGTGCATGATCACGTGGTAAGGGTCAGCATGGGGAACGAGGGGCGGGGGGGGGGGGGGGGGGGGGGGACACGGGGGGACGACCCCCACCTAGCCCAAGCTAGTCTCCTGCTTCCCAGGCTCCGACAATCAGCAAGCACGTGACCCGCGACAGTGTGCCAGGGCACAGACTCCGCCGCTGTAAACCCACCGAGGCAGAGGTGGGAAACTCTGAGCCAAGAAGCCCCGCCCCCACCCCAGAGCCAACTCCATATGGTCCCTGGTTTCTAGTCAGTGGCCCGCCCAGGGGTCATCTGTGGCTGCAAGTCACCCGAAGGCGTCACCCGAAGGCTCCCCCCGGCCGTGCATACCAGGTTCGCTTGTTGTCAAAAAAGAGGACGAGGTAGAGATGCTCTCGGGCTTCCTGGGTCATCTGCTCCCCAAGTTTCAGCACCTCCAGCGGTGGCACAGGGATGGGCACCCCATGATGGAACATGCCTTCCCGGGGCATCTTTGGGTCAATGATCTGAGGGTACAACAGGAGGCTGGTGGGGCTCAGTCCCCGTGCTCCGCAGTACTCCTCACCCACAGACTCGCGTGCAGAACGGAGGCGGGAAGGTGCCCCAGCCTCCATCCTTGCCACGCTGCACTTCTCCAGAGCCCGAGGGGCAGGGAGGGAGAACGCTGGGTGCATGACCTGGGGGCAACACCATTGGCCTGTGCCCGGTGACTGACGAGAAGGCCAAGGAGCCACGTACCAGAGCTGGGTAGGACGGGTACCCTCGGCACTTGGCCCACACCAGGTCCAGAGCGTCCAGCGGGGAGTCCTCGTCCTCTGACAACCAGCCAGCTCCCCGGCTCAGATTCTTCCTCACCACTTCACAGGAACAGGGGGAGGGGCGCATCAGCAATGGGGGGGGGTGGCTGGCCCCCGTGCCCCTGGCCCCCTCCCCCCGGCCTCGGGCAGGGGTACTCACTGCTGTGGGCCACGCTGCGGCCCGCGCCCACCGAGTAGGCCTCATTCTCGGTGCCTGAGGTATCCTCGCTGCTGTCCTCCGGGAAGGTGCCCCTGGAGAAGGAGGGCTTCCCCCGGCCCTGCTTGGAGGGTGTCGTGCTGCGGACAAGACGAGCGCTCAGCCCACGGGGAAGAGCGGGGACCGCCATGCAGGACGCCCTCTTCTGTTCTCTACGGGGGGACCACAACACAGCACGGGGGGCTAGGCCGTGTCTCTGGCCCCACTGGCCCCTCCTTCAACCCCTGGGGTCAGGCTGTGACAGTACAGTGCCTGGGGCACTTGCACTGCAAGTGAGGACTACCTGGGTCCCATCCCCGGCACCCAGCCCAGTCTGCTGAGCCAGGAGTAAGCGCTGAGCACCGCTGGGTATGCCCCCCGCAGCACTCACAGGAAACCCCCAGGGCCCAAGCCTTGGAAAACCGGGGCTACACGCAGAATCTCGAACTGAGACATCCGCGAGGCTGAGCTGGGCCTGGCCATGCTGATGGGGCGTCCCCTGCTGCCCTGTGCAGGGCACTGCTAGGTCACTCCGGGCAGCCTGGGGGACTGTATGGGGTGCTGAGGCTCAGGCCCGGATCCACTGCATACAAGGAGAGCACCCTACCCGCTGTACTGTTGCTCCGGCTCCCAGATCAAGATTGTCTAAAATTCAGTGTGTGTGTGTGTGTGTGTGTGTGTGTGTGTGTAGCCCAGGGTCGTCACGTGTGGTGTGTGTGTGTGTGTGTGTGTAGCCCAGGGTCGTCACATGTAGAGCACATGCCAGTCCTCTGAGCTATTTCCCTGCCCCCGGCCCGTATCTGGTTCTTAAGAAGAAACAGAACCTGGGAATGCTTTTCCTTACTGGGTTCTTGGGCCCCACCAATGCCGCAGCAGGGAATGAGCCCGCCCCACGGCTGGACGCGCTTCCCAGGCTGCGAGACCTGTGCGAGGGTCTGGCCAGACGAGCCCCCGCCCCGGGGTGCCACTCTCAGGGCCCCTGCTTCTCTGCGGGCAGGGGGGCGTCGCAGGGAGCCCGGCGGTACCTGGTCCGGTCCGAGGCGGCGCTGCTGCTGCTGCTGCTGCTGGACTCTGAGTCAGAGCTGCTCCGGGGGAGGCTGCGGTCGTTCCGGTACACCAGGAAGCTCTTCTTGACTGGCTGATTCCCGCCGCTGAAGCCGTTGGCTGGTAAGTCTTGGTTTGGGGGTGGGAGAGGAGGAAGGAAGGAACCGGTCAGGAAGACGCAGACGGGTGTGGCGAGGGGCAGAGAGCGTGCCTTCCCCTCCCGGGCTGGCGCTCCCGCGGCCTGGGTCAGCGGAGCAGCTCTGGGCAGTGTCACCCGTTGGCCACAGCCTGGCCCTCCCGCCCTCTCGGGGCAGTTGGCGGCTCGGGACAGGGACGGGGTGGCGGGCAGGAGCTCCGAGGAGGGTGAGAAGAGCAGAGTGAAGCGAGAGAGTGGAGGGGTCTGCGGGGGCGCTAGCTGGGGTCCCGGGAGGCGCTCTCGGCGCTGACCCTCTAAGGGCAGTTATGTCGGGAGGGATGGCAGCTGGGCTCGCTCTCCTGGGGGCTCACCCATTGGGGGGTCTTCTGTGGATTTATCACTGTCGCTGTCTGAGCTCGAACTGGGCCGGGGACTCCTCCCCCGCTTGCGCTGACGGACGGGGCCCATGATGGGGAGCTGGGGGGGCCCCACAGGGCTGCCTCCGTGGCTGGGGGTCATCTGGCTCTCCCGGTTTTTGGGGGGCCGGCCCGGCCTCTTGGGCGGTCCAGCTGTCTTCGGGTTCTTTTTGGAGAACAGAACTGAGGTTCTCCTGCCCACCTCATGTGCGGGGGTGGAGGACATGTTGGGACCCAGGCCTGGAGCAGAGAAAGAGAGAAGGAGAGTCGGTGAGGGGCCGTGTGGGGAGGGCGTCGCCCCAGCGAGGGTCGGGAGATGGTCTGGGGGGCGGGGGGGGATTGTCTCTTCTGAGTGGCCCGAGAGGAGCGGAGAGGCCCGTGACGGGAGGGCGGGGTTCCGCTAGCGTGCGGGGGGCTTGCTCCGGGGTCTGCCTCGCCGGGGGGTTCAGACCTTTGCTCGTCTCCTGGCTGCTGCTCTCCTCGGCGGCACTGTCCGTCTGCCCGTCCTTGTCACAGGCGGCCTGGTGCGGCGTCAGGCTGCCCCGGCCCGAGGGCCCGTGCCGGTCGGGGCCGTCGCGGCCGCCTTCCCGCTGGTGCGCGAGCTTGCGCCGCAGCGCCGTCATCTCCTTCTTGATCATCTTGGCGCGCCGGGAGCGGCCGACGCTCTGCTTGCCGGCGTTCACCTCGTCCAGCCGCTCCAGCAGCAGCTTCAGCTGCTCCTCCGCGGGCAGGTGCTTCTGGCTCTCCAGCAGGGTCAGCCGCTCGTCCTCGGCTGCTGCGCGGGGGAGCGCGGGGTGGGGACAGGTCACGGGCGGGAGGCACGGGCCCACCCTCCCGCCTCGGCGGAGCCAGCCAGCTCGGAGCGGGCGGCGGGCGCGGCCGCAGCGTCCCCAAGCCTCGCTCCCGCCTCGCTGCCCGCCCGCGGCGTATCACCCACCCTCTTCCGCGTGGCGCGGCGCCTCGTCCCCGGCCAGGCTGTGCGGCAGGTGCATGCCCGTCTCGAAGTCGATGCCCATCTTCTCCGCCTGGCGCCGGGCCTGGCGCAGCACCGCGCCCCCCTGCTCGCGGAGCCGCACGGCCGCCCGGTAGAAGATGGTGTCCTTGGCGTTGTACTTGAGGCAGTTGCTGACGATCAGGTTGAAGTCCTCCTCGAAGTCGTCGAAGTTCAGGTAGCGGTACGCCTCCAGGTTCTGCTTCATGGTGAAGAAGTCCATGGGCTTCTTGATGTGGTCCAGGTAGTCGGGGACCTGGCGGCGGGCAGGGCGGCTCAGCACGGCTCGCCCTCCCTGCCCCGAGCCCTGCTCCTAACAGGCCGGCAGCCGCCTCCCGCCAGCGACAGGAGGGCAGCCCGTCCCTCGCCCTCTCGGGCTCTCCTTCCGCAAGACAAGGATGGAACCGCAGCCAGCACTGCCCCCCGCCCCGGGGAATCCTCTGGGAAGAACCGCCGTGCGTCCCTACACCCTTCCGTCTACTTGTCGCCGACTCAGAGCAGGCTGCGGCCGCGGGGCTCTCGTTTGGAGGAGCCTGCCAGAGCCAGGCAACTCTGGCTCTTCGCCGCCGAGCTCCCTAAACCCCCACTCTACAGGACCCCCAAGCGTCTCGCTGCCCTGGGTCAGTCACCTGCGCTCAGGCCCTGCCTCCCAATCTGGCCCCCAGGCATGACAGGGACACGCAGAGTCCAGGAGACCGAGTGGCTCCCGTTCGTCCTGGAGCCCCCGAGTCACCGGCCCCTCTCTTCACGGTCCCCTCCGAGCCCCTGGCCCGGACCTGCAGCAGGACCCGGGCCAACCGGGAGAGGAACAGAAAGGCGAGGTGAGGGGAAGGGGTTCTTACTTCGTCCAATTCGGTTACCTCAGACAGAGGGACCGGCTCGCTGAAGATGTTGCCCGTGTCCTTCTCTTGGAGCTGCTCCAAGGTTTTGCGAAGGAGGATGAGGAAAGGGGTGAGCTGCATCTCCATGGCGATCTGCTGGACCTTGATCTGACACACGCAGGGCCCGGTCAGCCCGGCCGGGCCTCCCACCCCCCGGCCCTGTCCTCTCGGTCCGGGCCCGGCGCCCGCACTCACCGTCTCCCGCTTGAGCTTCTCCCGCTTGCGGATCAGCTCCACCAGCAGCCGCGCGCGCTCCAGGTCGTGCCGGAGCCGCTGCCAGGACTTGAGCTGCTCCTTGAGGGCCCAGTTCTTATCCTCGGAGTCTCTCTGCTGGCGGGAGAGGGGGAGCTGCAGAGGCCGGCGGGCGCAACCGGGAACCAGCAGAGCCAGAGGAGGGGCTCGGGGATGCACTGGGGACCCCTCGTGTGCCCGGGGCCTGGCACAGTCCCACAGTGGGCCTGCCGGAGCGCCAGGACAGCGGGCGCAGTGCTTGCCTTGCATGCGACCAACACAGGTTCGATCCCCGGCTCCCTACGGCCCCGAGTCCCGCCTCGAGTGATTCCTGAGCGCAGAGCCAGGAGGAACCCCTGAGCCCCGCCGGGTGTGGCCCCCACACAAACAGCAAAAAGAAACTGAACATGGGGCTCCCACGGTCCCCCCCTGCCCACAGGCATGCCCCCTGGCCCTCGCCCCCAGAGCACACAGGGAATTTGACACTGTACCCTGACTTGGTCACATGGCACCCCGACTTGATCACAGTTCCTCTGCGACTGCAGGTGCGTCTGCAGGCGCCGGAGCAGTGGGACCCCGTTCCGGGACTGGCGTTTCAGCGTCCAGTAGCTGTGAAGCCGCTGCATGAACTGGCTCTTCCTCTGGATGGTCAGGCGGTTTGTGATCTTACTGAGCCTGGAGCGGGGGACAGAGAGGAAAGCTAACTGGGCACAGCACCCTCGGGAACAGGGCCTGGGCTCAGGGCGTGCTCACGTGTGGCACATGGTCCCCTGAGCACTGAGCTGGGAGCAGCCTCCAAGCGGCTGTGTGTGAACCAAAATTCAGAGGGGAAAAAAATAAAGAAAAAGGACCAGAGAGGTAGTACAGCGGGGAGGGCGTTTGCCTTGCGCCTGGCCGACCCAGTTCGATTCCCGGCATCCCATATGGTCCCCCAAGCACTGTGGGAATAATTCCTGAGTGCAGAGCTAGGAGTAAGCCCTGAGCATCACTGGGTGTGTCACAAAAAGTAAAGAAAAAAAAAAGAGAAGAAAGAAAAACTCGATCTCCCGGCCAACAAGCAGCAGGCAGGGCCGGGCATGGGGAGATGGTGCACAGGGTGGAGCCCCGGGTTTGCTCCCCAGCCGTGCACTAAGGCTGGCAGTGGCCCTTGGAAGGGGCAGGGGGTCCCCTCCGGAAACAGCCTCGTGTGATCCTCCCTCCCTCCTCCCAAAAGAGCCCAGATCACAGTCAGTGAAGCTCCTGGCTGGGAGATCGATCTCTTCCCACAGTCCTGCGGGACAGCTGGGGTGGCAGCGGCAGGGCCTGCCTGCATGAGAGGTGACCCCTCGGCTGCCAGCCTGCACCAGGGCAGCGCGTGACGGGGGCCCAAGGCAGTCACACGGTGCCAGTCGCGGCAGCGGCGTCAGGAAGCTACACGCTGACCCGGCACTTCCCGAGCCCCGTCCGTGAGGGGGGCCAGGGATGCTCTCCTCGGGCAGCCGGGACACCCGAGACCGAGCCTGGAGGCTATCGAAGGGGGGAGCAGGAGGGCGCCCCAAACTGGCGACGGCCGCACTCGTCTGCTCTCGGCCCCGCAGCCCCGGGTCACCCCTTCCCTGTATCCCTCCAGTTCTCCCTCAGGGCCAGGCCTGGCGCTGGGGCCTAGGAGCACCCGGTCGGGTCCGCGGGGGCTTCGGGACCTCCGGGGACCGGGGCGCGAGAACGCCTGTCACTGCCCACAGGAAGCCGCGCCCGCGTACCTGTGGGGCGGGATGCAGGGCACCGACACCACGGGGGCCGCCGCCCGCTTCTCGGCCAGGATCTTCCGCGCCTTCTTCATCTTGATCCGGGACTTGGCCTTGGCCTTCTTGACCTTCTCGGAGCTCCAGCTCTTCCCGTCCTCCTCCTCTTCCTCGTCGTCCTCCTCGCCCTCGCTGTGGGACAGGGCGGGCAGGCGGCGGGCCGAGCCCGGCGGCGTGTGGATGTCGCAGTAGGCCGTCTTGCGGACGCTGAAGGAGGTGCCGTTGGCGCCCGTCTCGCGCACGGGCTCCATCTTCATGTAGAGGCCGGCCTGCTGGGCGCACGTCACGTGGAAGGCCGTGTAGCAGTTGGCCTTGTGGCACTGGATGCAGGCGCCCGAGCCGCGCTGCTTGCAGATGTAGCACGTGAGCTTCCAGCGGGCCGGCGGGATGTGCTCGATGCTGTCGATGGGCTCCAGGAAGACGGTGTTGGCGAAGCACACCTCGGGGATCCAGAGCGCGCACACCACGTGGGCCCAGCGCCCGTCGTCCGTCTGCTTGAAGGCGCCGCCCTTGTTGGGGCACAGGGCGCAGTCCACGGCGCGCGAGGGCGACTGCAGGCAGCGGCGGCACAGCCACTGGCCCTCGGGGATGTAGGGCACCCCGTAGCACTCCTGGTGCACCGCCAGGTTGCACATGTCGCAGAAGAGGATGACGTTGCTGTTCTGGCACTCGCCGTCGTTGCAGATGCAGCACACGGCGTCCTCGTCCACCAGCGCGTTGGGGTCCCCCTTGTTGTGGCTCTCGAAGTACGACTCCTTCTCCAGCCGGTCCATCAGGTACTCGAAGACCTCCTGCGGGATGGGGCTCACGCCCTCCGCCTTCCGCCGCTCGTTCATGATGTCCAGCCAGATGTAGTCCTCCTCGTCCATGTCATACTCCACCTCCTCGTCCAGCTCCTCCGCCGACTTCTCGATGTACCTGCGAGACGCGGGGGTCACTCGGGGTCACAGTGCGGCCGGCCCCTCCCTGCACCACCTCGCTGCGCCCCACCCTCCACGCCTGCTGTTACAGGTACGAGATTCATTTTCTTTTTTGGGTTTTGGGGTCACACCCGGCGGTGCTCAGGCGTTCCTCCTGGCTCTGTGCTCAGGAATCACTCCTGGCGGTGCTCAGGGGACCATACGGGATGCCTGGAATCGAGCCCAGGTCAGTCACATGCCAGGCAAAGACCCTCCCCGCTGTGCTATCGCTCTGGCCCCCCAGGTTCATTCTTGGTTGGCAGAAAAGTTTCTGCTGAAGGCGACAAATCCCAGTGGCCCTGTTCACTTGTGAGAAAGTGGCAGAGCAGACGGGAACCCCAAAGTGCAGGTCCTCCACGGGAGCAAGGAGGCCGCGCCGGGGAGGGCATCTGCCCTGCACCCGACACCCCAGATGGCCTCTGAGCACCACCCAGAGTGATTCCTGAGCGCAGAGCCAGAAGTAACCCCTGAGCAGTGCCAGGTGTAGCCCCAAAACAACAAGATAAAAGGCAGCTGAGCCAGAGGAAGGAGAGTGGGCAAGGCGGCCAGGACAGAGCCCGGCGGCCCCTGGACACTGCATCTCCATCATCTGATACCAGCTTGTGGTCCCTGTCAGCTGGCATGGCGCCCCCAAACTCAAGGGCCGATGTGTTCGCCGTGAGCCTGGGGAGATGCCGGAGTGTCTACCAGGGGCAGGGTTTGGCCGAGGCATGTGTCGTCTCCAGAGGGTGAATGTTTACTGCCTCCCTCACTGCTGAGCCGCCCGCACAATCAGCTCACGAGACCACAAAGTGGCCGATGGGCCAGAGAGACAGCACCGTGGGCAGGCACTGGTTTTGTATGCAGCAGACCCGGGTTCGATCCCAGAACCCAGTATGGTTCCCTGGACCCTGCCAGGAGTGATGCCTGCGTACAGAGCTGGGCGTGAGCCCTGAGCACAGCCGGGTGTGGCCTGTGACCAAAACCGCAGGATGTGGCCGACCTAGCGTGTACACCCACCTTCCAGCCTCCTGCACCAGCAGCGTTGGGCCGAGGGCCTCTGTGAGCGCCTGGAGATACGGCTCATGGTTCTACTTCCCTGCAAAGCTACAGGACCTTTGCTCCAAAAAAACCTGGATTTAAGTTCTTGCTCTGCCACTCTGGGGCTTGGCTTTTTATGTTTATTTTTTGCTTTTTGGGTCACACCCAGCGATGCCCAGGGGCTCCTCCTGGCTCTGTACTCAGGAATTACTCCTGGCTGTGCTTGGGGGACGCCATGGGATGCTGGGAATCAAACCTGGGTGAGCCTCGTGCAAGGCAAACGGCCTCCCTGCTGGACTATCTCTCTGGCCCCCTGCTCTGGGACTTTTAAAGCATCACTGGGTATCCTACTGGTGACAGGCTGAGGTGACAGCCCTGTCCCAAAGACACTGTCAGCATCACAGAGCCAGCCTTGTGGGGCCCCGCGTGGCAAGCTGAGGCCCTCTGAGGACAGCACCCTGTCAGCCAGCCTGCTTGGACCTTCGTCTCCCGTTTCAATTCATTTGTTTTAGGGGCCACACCCAGCAATGCTCAGGGCTGACTCCTGGCAGGGCTCAAGGAGTCACGGGTGGTGGCAGGCATCGAACCCAGGTTGGCCACGTAAAAGCAAGTGTCTTACACGATGGACGAACGTCCCGGGCCTTGGCCCCTTCATGCTGACGTGGTGAGGCGAACATCAGCCGTTTCGCACAATGGTTACAATCAGTAAATGAGGTAATTCATTGATTAAATTAAATGCTTGGCCTGAGCAAGTACTCAGAAGGCGTGTGCTGGCGGCTGCTGGAGAGCCCTCGCCTAGCCAGGCTTGGACTGGAGTTGGTGCCGTGCCGACTCCTTCACGAGAGCAGACACAGGGCCCAGGGCTGTGTCCCTGGGGCCAGAGCGCCAGCACAGCGGGGAGGGGACCTGCCTTGCACACGGCATCCCATATGGTCCCCTGAGCACTGCCAGGAGTGATCCCAAGTGCAGAGCCAGGCGGAACTCATGGGCATTGCTGGGTGTGACCCGACAGCAGAAAGAAAAACAAAAAAAGAAAAGCAACAGGCAGCCCTCACTGGCCACCTGAACGGACTGTGCTGGTGCAAGAGAAGAAATAAACCAGCCCAGGAACAGGAAACAGCTTCTCCGTCCCCAAGACTGCAAAGGAGGCAGCCTCCGAAATGGGAGCGACTCGCGGCTGGAGGGAGGCGTCAGCCTTGGCTCTGCCGTCACACCTGCGTCCGATCCAGCCGAGGTGTGAGAGCCGGCGCCCTGGCCGCCGCCCGCACCCTCTCGCGTCCCTGCACAAACCTCTCCCGTCACACGCGCCCTCTCTTGTCACACGCGCCCTCCCATCACACGCTCCCTCTCGCAGGCAGGCCGCGCATCTTGGCACCCTGCTGACAGTCTCTCTCCCCCCCAAGGGCTGCGGACGCGAACGGGAGGAGCGAGAGCCCCAGCGCAGATGACTTCAGATATTCTAGGACGGGGGTTTGTGTGCGAGCTGGGATCAATCCAGGCCGCGTCCCACCTCCTCCACTCGGCTACATTTCCAGCCCCCTCAGGGTTTTATAAAAAGCAGATCGCTGCCGAGACACAAGTAACTCTGCAACAGGAATAACCACAGTACACGCGACACACATCCCCGCCGACCTGCGCAGCTGAGAACCGCCACCCTGGAGAACGACTGGGACCCCAGGGGAAGGGAATGAGTCTGCGGGGAGGAGACAGGGGAGGGGAGTGGGCTGGCAGAGAAACAGGGACAGACAGATAGAAGAGAGAAAGAGCAAGACAGACAGACACAGAGGACGAGCGGGAGATGAGAAGGGCGGGCGCTCTGAGGATGAGCTGGGTGGGTTGGGGAGCACAAGCCCCACGGGCCTGAGCAACTCTGGCGACACCCCCTCTGGCACCCGTGGCCTCAGGCCCTCCACACGCTCCCCTGTGCCCCATTAAAAACACAAAGAGGATCCAGAGAGACCCCCCCAGGGGTCACAGCCCCATCCCCACCCCCTGTCAACACGGTGAGGGCCCTGGCGGGTCCCCCAGTACAAGGTCTACGGGGAGGAAGCCCTGAGCACGGGTGTGGCCCCGAAACTGAAAACAGGAAAAAAAAAACCCAAAACAAGCCAAGAATGAGAGGAGGAGGGAACCGCCAACGCAGACGCGGGGAGAGGAGGGTGGCGCTGGCCTTGGCTGCTGGGAACCGGGCGGGGGTCTCCACACATGGGCCCCCACGTGAGCCTGGCAAGCCCTCAGCAGCAGCCCCGCTATGCCTGGCCCTGACGCCCTGAACCCCGCACATCCTGTCTCGCCCTGAACCCCGCACATCCTGTCTCAACAACGCTCTCCGCCCATCTCCGCCCACTTGGTTCTTCGGGGCCACACCCGGCAGTACTCAGGGCCCAGGCGGGGACCTGGGGACCTGCTGTCCTATGGCCCCCACTCACAGCAGTTTCTTTTCTTTTCTTTTTTTTTTGCTTTCTGGGTCACACCCAGCGACGCACAGGTGTCACTCTTGGCTCTGCACTCAGGAATCACTCCTGGTGGTGCCCAGGGGGCCATAAGGGATGCTGGGGATGGAACTGTGGTCAGTCGCCTGCAAGGTCAATGCCCTCCCTGCTGGACGATCGCCCCAGCCCTCTCAGCAGTTTTATGCTGACCCATACCCCGTCCAGCTAGGGTTCTGGACGGAAGTCCCCCACATGCTCCCGCTGCCCCTGCACTGTTTGACCTCGTGTTAGGGGAATGTAGCCTTTCGTGCCCCCGCTTTATTCGAAGCCCCGCGGCTGCACTCCGGGACAGCAGGAAGCAGCAGATGAATAAAACCACGCTGCCGACACATGCCGAACGACGGGCACGACTGGCAGGACCGGGCGAGTCCCGCAGCCTTACAAGCTGCTTTCAGGGCCGGAGGAAATCCGTGCCTTCTGATGGTGTGCTGGGTCTAGGCTGCTAGAAGAATGTCACTGGAACCCCTAAAGCTGCTGCCTGCCCAAGGTCACTCAGTGACTGATGGAGAAGGGCAGGGAGGGGGGTCTCTGGTAAGGTGGAAACAGTGCAGCTCTGCAGATACCTCTGCTCGCACGTGCGTGCGTACGTGTGTGTGTGTGTGTGTGTGTGTGTAGTGAAACAGTTTCATTTAGGAAACTGTAAGGGAGCGAAAGTGAGAGAAAGCAAGAGCAAGAGAGAGCAAGAGAGCGAGCGAGCAGGAGGAAGGGGGGGAGAGAGAGAGGGAGAGAGGGAGAGAGAGAGAGAGAGAGAACATTTCAGGTTGAGATGAGGGTGAACTGAGAATGGGGAATGCAGTGCCGACGCGGTAGTACAGCGGGTGCGGTGTTTGTCTTGCACACGGCTGCCCTGGGTTCAATCCCTGGCATCCCATGTGGTCCCCCAAGCGCTGCCAGGAGTAATTCCTAAGTGCAGAGCCAGGAGTGACCCCTAAGCACTGGCAGGTGTGGCCCAAAAACCAAACATACAAAAAACCCAAAAACGGAAGAAAAAAACAAAGAACAGGGAACGTGCCAAAAACCCCGGTTCAAACGGGTTCAAACCCCCATTCATCCGCCCACTGACACGTGGGCCCGTCTGTGCACCCCGGTTTCCTCGCGGCGCGGAGGGGCACGAGGCCTGCGCGAGAGGCCCGTGCGGCGCGGGCAGCCTTACCGGTAGTAGGAGGTGGGCCGGGGCGGGGCGTCGGGGGTGTCCTGCTCCAGCTCCCGGTACACCACCTCGGGCAGCTTGGGCGTGGCGCTGGCCGAGGCGTTGTGGTGGTGGTGGTGGCTGGAGTCGCGGCGCTTCTCTTTGTTCTTGTGCTTGCCGGACTTGGGGGTGGCGGCCGGGGTCTCGGTGTTCTCCTTGTTGCTGCCATTCTCGGGGGCCTCCTCGGGGGCCTCGTCGTCCTCAGACACCACGTCCAGGTTGTCGAAGATGCTGATGCGGTGGACGCGGCCGTGCAGGTCCACCTCCACCATGCGCTGGGCCTGCGCGTAGCTCATCACCTCGCGGCCGGGCGACTGGGACACCTCGGAGGGGCTCGGCGATGCCTTGTTGGCCGGGCGGGACTGGCGCCCCTTCTTCTTGTGCTTGCGGAGGGGGGTCTGCTGCGGGGGCGGCGGGTTGTCGTGGTCATAGTGGTACAGGTGGTACTCGATGCCGCTGTAGCTCTTGTACACCTTGCGGCAGGTATCCACGGGGCACTCATAGGGTGGCTTCGTCGCCCGCAGGTTGTGGCAGAAAGTCTTCACGTCGAAGTCCACCCCCATGCTGTCACATCTGAAGACAGAGATGGGTCAGCAGACAGTCCCTTCCGGTCCCGAGTCCACTCCCGCCAGCCCACCCTCTGTCCAACGGCCACCCTGGTCAGCCCAGTCACCGCATCACGAGGCCAAGTACCAGGATGCCAATCCCTGGATCCCAAACTTCCTGCCGCCCCCAGGACCCCCGTGAGCAGGCGGCGCTTTTGCTGCCGTCGGGCGCTGCTCTTCCCCTGACGGGTCGTCGCTGTGCCTCCCACTAACCAGGGCGGCCTGGCACTCCCGGAGGTACCAGCCTCTTGTAGGAATACCTGAGTAGTTATTACTACTCAGTCTTCACAGGACTTCATGTCTGGCCCCTGGGCTACGTGTTTCTCCACTCTCCCCTCTACCTGGTGCGCGGACACTGCACCTGCCGCGGCCACCCAAGGTGGGGGCTGTCGGGCAGGCCCCATGGCCAGGCCACACCCGGACCGGGTAAATAAATAACCTGCCGGATGAAGGTCTGAAGGCGAGCCTGGAGCTCGGGAGGGATGCAGGCGGCGGCTGCCAGTCCCTGGCGCCGAGAGGGATGCCTGGGTAGGAACGTGATCCCGGAGCCAGCGATCTCGTCGTGGACCCCAGGAGCAATCCCTGGACTGTCGCAGAATCAGCTCAGCCCGAGGGTCCCTCGGGGAGCCTGCCGGGGCCCCTGGGAGTGAGCTGGGCATTTACCCTGCCCGAGTGCAAACTGAGGCCAGCGGCCGGGGCAGCAGCCAGGGCTACCTGCACCCACGGAAGCCACAGCGACGAGCAAGTGACCGCCCGGTGCTCCCCGCGTTCCCGGGCGAGCGGGGACAGCAGACGGCACCCGCCCCGGGAAGCCCCGCTCGGCCACGGCCTCCGGAGCCCCCTTGCTCCGGGCCGGGCGCTCCAGGCGTCCAGCAGCCCAGACAAAGCTGGGTCCTGAGGTCGCTGACAGCGCCGCCCCTCGGGCTGTCACCCGCAGCGGCCGGAGCCCCGTCGGGAGCCCGGGGGCGCACGCAGGCGCGCCCCTCTCCGTGCCGGGTCCCTGCTCCGCCGCGGGCGCCCCGTCCCGGCCCCACGGGCACGGCGGGCGCGGCGGCCCGAGCCCGGCCCGGCGGCGACACCTGCCCGCGGCGGGCCCGGAGGCGCGCCCGGGCGGCGCCCACGGAAGTGGCCGCGCCCCCCCGCGGGCCGCCCGCCCCGCACTCACCGGCCACCTCGGGTCCGGGCTCATCGCCGGGCCGCCCGCCGGGCAGGGCGGGCCGGGGCGCGGGAGGCCCCGCTCGGGCGCGCCGACCCCCGCCGCTGCCGGTGCCGCCGGCGCCCCAGCTCTCCCGCGGCGTCGCCGCCCTGGACAGCGCCGGCGTGGCGGGGCCCGAGCCGGCGCGGCGGGAACAATGGAGCGGCGGGGCCGCGCGGGGACGGCGGCGGCGGGGACGGTGGCGGCAAAGGCGGCGGCGGCGGCGGCGGCGACGGCGTCTGCGCAGGGTAAACGCGGCCCCGCGGCGCCGCCGAGCGGCACTTTCGCCACAGCCCCCGCCCGCCGCCGGGGCGCGCGGCGCCGTTCGCGGGCACGCGCGGGGCCCCGGGCCCCCGGGGGCGCCTCTCGCCCCCCCATCTCGGGGTTGCGTGTCTGGACTCGGAACCCGCGGCCCTCGGGCGCCGGGGCGGGCGGGCCGTTTGTGGCGAATCTGCGGCCGCGGACGGGGCGCGCGGGGCCGGGCGCCCGGAGCCCGCCCTGGTCCCTTCCCCCCGCTCCTTCCCCCGCCCTCCCGCGGGCGCCCGGCTGCGCTAGGGACGCGGCCGCGGGCCCCGAGGGAGGCGGCGGGGCGGGGCCGGGCGGCGGGGCGGGGCCGGGGCGGGGCCTGGCGTCCGAGCGCGCCGACGGGGCGGGGCCTGGAGCCCGAGCGCGTTGACGGGGCGGGGCCTGGAGCCCGAGCGACCCAAAGGGGCGGGGCCTGGAGTCCGCGCGCGCCTAAGGGGCGGGACCTGGAGCCCCAGCGAGGCGGACCAGAGCTGAAGGGGCGGGGCCCGAAGCCCTAAGGCGCCGAAGGGACGGGTCCTGGAGACCGAACAAGTCGGAAGGGCGGGGCCTGGAGCCCGAGTGAGGCGGGCCGGCACCGGAGAGGCGGGGCCTGAAGCCCAAGTGAGGCGGCCCAGCGCCGGAGGGGCGGGGTTTGGAACCCGAGCGAAGCGGGCCGGAGCCTGAGGACCGGGGAGGGGGCGGGGCCTGGGGCCTGAGCGAGCCGAGGGGCGTGGCCTGGAGCCCGAGCGAGGCGGGCCAGAGCCTGAGGGGCGGGGCCTGAAGCATGAACGAGGCGGGCCGGAGCTGAAGGGGCGGGGCCTTGAACCCGAGCGAGCCGGAGGGGCGGGATCTTGCGCCCGAGAGTGTCGGAAGGGCGGGGCCTGGAGCCCGAGCGCGTCTAAGGGGCGGGCTCTGGAGCCCGAGCGAGGCGGGCCGGAGCCAGAGGACCGGGGAGGGGGCGGAGCCTGGAGCCCGAGCGCGTCTAAGGGGCGGGCTCTGGAGCCCGAGCGAGGCGGGCCGGAGCCAGAGGACCGGGAGGGGGCGGGGCCTGGAGCCCGAGCGACGCCAACCGGGGCCTAAGGGTCGGGGTGGGCGGGGCTTACCCGGAGGGGCGGGGCCACGTGGGCCGCTGCGGGCTGCGCAGGGCCAACAGGTGGGCGGAGCCGACCGGGCTCGGGGAAGGCGGGCGGGGCCTTCGCGGGCCTGGGAGCGTGGAGGTGGGTCCGGGAGGCGGGAGCGGCCTGGGAAAAACGCCGGCAGGTGGCCGGGGAGAGGCGGGGCTGCAGGGAGGGCGGCGCTCGCTGAGGGTGAACGCGGGTGGCCGCCGCGGGGCCGGGCCGGGATGGGGGCGGTGGGCGTCCGGAGGCAGGGTCGGCCTCTGCGGGCACCAGGGCCGGCCGTGCCAAGGGCCCGTGGGCAGGAGAATGGCCGGAAACGCGCGAGGTGACCGGTTACCCTTAGGGCGGTGCCAAAGAACTGGCGTCCGTGTGACCGGGCTGTTCAGAACTCGGAACTCGGGTAAGTGGTTATAAATTCTTCCTGCCTCCGACTTTGTCCAGCGGAGTTCGAAAGTGACTGTCAGTCCTTGGCGGCTCTGGAAGACTTGGGTGCCACCCGGACCCGCTCCTGAAACAATCAATGCCTGTTGCTGAGCGCCGGCATCTTCCAGCGCGCGTGGCAAAGTCGCAACGGCTGGAAACTCAGTATCTTCTTTTTCTTAATGGGAACGTTGTATTTGATCCTCTCTAGCGTTTCCGTGTGTGTGTGTGTGTGTGTGTGTTTGGGGCCACACCCAGCAGTGCTCTGGACCTGGCTGGGTGCTTTGGTGGTGCTCCGGTGACCTCGTGGTGCTGAGGCTGGAACCTGGGCATGCAGGCGCGTTCTCCAGCCTCGGATGTATCTTCATGTACAGTGTCTTTCCAAGAACATCACGGGGTGCAAAGAGTCCAGCAGGTAAGGCTCTTGCCTTGTACATGGCAACTCCGGTTCAATTCCCGGCATCACATACGATCCTGTGAGCCCTGTTTCTGTCTTCGTTCCTGAGCACAGAGCTAGGAGTAAGCCTGAGCACAGCTCTATGTGTATGTATGTATGTGTGTATATATATATATATGAACATATATATGACATTTCTGAAGATGTTTGCTGATTAAAATCTTGGGATTTGGGGGTCAGACTGAATAATTTTCCTGGAATGACTTCGCTCTCTGAACCTCATTTTTTCTCTCATTTTTAGTGAAGCAAAATAAATTTTTATTGAAAGAAATTTAGAGAAATGTGAAGGGAGAGGAGGAGAGCAATAGAGAGAGAAGTGTCTTCAAGAGAGAACAGAGGCTTCTCAGGAGAGGGGAAAGCATGAGTTTCCTCCTCTGTAAAGCAGAACTAACACTATGCGTGCTTCCGAGGACTGTTGTGAGAATGAAGTAAAATGGTAGCATTGCACTGTCCTCCCGTTGTTCATCGATTTGCTCGAGCGGGCACCAGTAGCATCTCCATTGTGAGACTTGTTATTGTTTTTGGCATATCGAATACGTCACGGGGAGCTTGCCAGGCTTTGCTGTGCGGGTGGGATACTCTCAGTAGCTTGCCAGGCTCTCCAAGAGAGACGGAGAATCGAACCCGGGTCAGCCACGTGCAAGGCAAATGCCCTACCCGCTGTGCTATCGCTCCAGCCCAAAGTAAAATGGTATTCTAAATCATCTACACCTTCGGGTCTGATATATACTTAATAGAAAGTTTGGCCTTTTTGTCTTCAAAAGATTCTGGATAAATAGATAAATGAAAAGCTTTTGGGCCACATTTGGCTGTGCTCAGGTGGGGCTCAGGGTACCATACGTGATGCCTGTGCTTGAACTCCAGCCCCCCTATGGAAAGCAGGTGCTGTCTCCCGAACCTGTTAGCATTGGGGGGTTACATAGGTGGAGGTACTCAGGAGATACGCCTGACTTACTGTTCAGGGGTCACTCTTGGCAGTGCTTGGGGGCAGGCGGTGCTGGGGATCAAACCTGGGCCTCCGACAGGCAAAGCATATATATGACATTTCTGAAGATGTTTGCTGATTAAAATCTTGGGATTTGGGGGTCAGACTGAATAATTTTCCTGGAATGACTTCGCTCTCTGAATCTCTATGGAAGCCCGAGTCCTTGAGTTCTCTCCCGAGGCCTCGAAATGCATTTATTTTATAATTCTCTTGGTTTGGGGAGCACCCCAGGCTGTGCTCAGGGGCTCCTCCTAACTCAGTGCCGCCCCCGGGATTAATCACAGGTGTTCCACAGACAGAGCACGCAGTCAGCCCGTTGAACTAGTGTCTTTGAGAACTGTAAAAGTGTGTAAAAGTAGTTCTGGGGACCTGGGGCCACTCTGGGCGACATTAGGCCTGGCACTCAGCCTGGTCACACAGCAGTGCTGAGGCTCCAGGGGTGGAACTGGGCCCCGGTGCGTGCCAGGCACCCCACCAATTGGAGCTCTGTTCCCATTTTGGACAGTGTTTGGAGACTCTCTGGGGAATGCGTGTGGAGTTAGGGCTAAACCTGGCTGACATCAGCCTCGCCATCCTCCCTGAGTATTGGGCTGTTGCCTACCCCCTTCCCGGGCTCCGTTCCCAAGCTCCACGACACAGAGGTGGCATAAAGATCAGCTTTATTATTAGCAGGAAAACAGGGAAGTGGTGGCAGTGCCAGGCCCTGCGGCGGGCATGGGGTGGGCGGCTGAGATGGCATCCGTCCTCCAAGCTGGCCGCCCGGTGAGGCCGCGGCTCCGGGAGCCTCTGGCTTTCGGCAGAAGCAGTGGGTGGCAGGTGGGCAGGCGGCTGGGCACTGGGGGGCCCTCAGGGCTGCTCGGTAGCTGGTGTCGGACTCGGGGGGGGCGGGGGGCGGGGGCCGAGGCTGGATGTCCCTCGTGCGCATGTAGGACAGCAGCTGCTCCGGGATCTCGGCCAGCACGTCCTTGGCCAGTCGCGCCATGCTCAGCACCTGGTTCCCCGATCGGTCCACGTAGTCCCGGAATGGCACGAACTGGGACAGGCACAGGCAGTCAGGATGGGAAGGGGGCCACGCGCCCCTCTCATCCTGTCTCCCACGTGCCTGCCACTCGCCTGCGCACCCCTCCCCCTTGCATCCTCAGCATGGTCCAGTCAGTCTTGGACAGTCCACTGAAAAGTCCCTATTGCGTGTGTGTGTGTGCACATGTGTATGCGTGTGTGAGCACGTGTGTGTGTGCATGTGTGCGTGTGTGTGTGTGTGTATGAGAAAGAGACAGAGATAGAGAGGAAAGACTCGGCGACTCACACGTTCAAGGCAGATGCTTGCTGCCAACTCCCATCCCACAGTCCGTTTTGCTAGTTAACCCTTTCATCTCTCCTTTGACTTTCCATCATCTCAGAGTCCTACTCTTGGAACCCCGCACTTCTGGATTTTCTCCCACCTCTCCAGAGGCTCCTCTCCACCCTCCCCCTCATTCCTGAATCTACCTGGTCTCACCCCCTACACCCCTCTCAATGGTCCAGGGTGAGCTCATCACTGCCATGGCTTTAGAAACAAAACAAAACCAACCCTTCCCTGGGGGCTGGAGAGATGGTACAGTGGGCTGGGCTGTCTGGCACAAGTCTGACAGATTTAATGCCCAGTGTCCCCCAAGCCCTCTAGGAGTGACCCTTGAGTGTGAATCCAGCAGTCACCCCTGAGCAGTACCAGATGGGGCCGCAAACCAAACCAAAAAACCCCAAACTTCCAGGGGCCAGAGTATAGTGAGATGCTTGCCTTGCACGCGGCCGACCCGGGTTCAATCCCCAGCATCCCATAGCACTGCCAGGAACGATTCATCCCTGAGCACTGCCAGGAATG